TAAGTAGCCGCCGTTCCAGCCACATGCTGTCAACGCGCTAAAGCCCAAAAATAACCAACAACCACGGCAAAAACAGGACCAACAATGCCCAAAAATGGACAGCGCCAACAACTCATAAATAAGAGAAATATATATCCGCTTGGAGCGTCCAGAAGTTATATACTTAATGGAGCTACAGAGGGGGAGGCCCGAGGAAAGAAATAAGTCATAAAGCCACCGCCATGGAAAACAATAAAAAAAATTTTTAATGCTTCTTATTGTTTTGGGAAAATGCCCTCGAAAAGGTAATACAGAAAGCCAGGCCATTAACTCATTTACCAGGAATTTAAGTAAATCTTCTGCTAGAGGATCATCATTTATAGAATCTTCAGACTAAAATGGTAAATAGTTTTAGGCCTGATTATCCTTCTAGTAAATGCTAAGCCACTTTTTCATTAGAAGGCCTAAGTATTTAGTTCATTAATGCCATTATTTATTTATGGTTACTTCCTCTTATTTTTTATTTAAGGACACCCATTATTTTTAATTTTTCAGACAGTTTGTGACACCAGAAAAAAAAACTTAATGTTCGACAAAGCATTTTTATGACTCTGCCACAAAAATGTTCTAATAAATGCAAACTAAATTTCCACTCACTCCCTGAAACACACGCACACACCCACTCCAGAACTATTCTACCACACACACACATACACACTGGCAAGGATACATAAAACCAAAGCCATTTTGAAGCACATTTTAATAGCATTGTACGAATTTTTTGCACTTAATTAAGTGTAATTAAATTTGCGCTGCTTACTCGCAGAATTTTTCCACGCCCCCCCTCACTTCCTCTTCAACCTGAAGCGAGAGACAGAGACGGAGCGAGTCGAGCGAAAGAGACAGGCGATGCGATGCCTAACAATTTGTGGGGCGCTTTACTTGAAGTTTCGAAAGCGCCGCAGTGGAGTGCCATTTACATTTTTATTTTTTTATTTTTTGTGCCTGCAACGAGAGTTGTTCGCTATTGAAGGTGGCAACTGAATGAAAAGGAGGACTAAGTGCCAGGCGACATTTTCAGTCAAACCCCAAGAGCTTTGATAGATAAATGGTGGGTTATGAAATGATTTTTAGGCTTTACAATATACAATACTACAGCTATCCAATCCTATACCTAAACCCACTTTGACGAGTTTATAATTCAACCGAAAACTCGATTAGGATGTTTTAAAATTTGCCAGAGCAATACCTTTCACTGTTGACTTTAACACCACAAGCTGGATCTCCCAGGCAGGCTCTGAAGGCCCGATGTTTGACAGGAAATTGCAGCGTTGCAGGGTTATGGGCAGAATGCAACGTTCAACGGCTGCCGCTACTGCTGCTGGTGGTGGTAGTGCTGCTTTCAGTTACCAACAGTCACTAGTCAGCAGTCAACAGTCAGCAGGCAATGGCCAAAAGTGAGCCGTAAGCAGTGGCAGAGGCAGGAGCTGCCGTAACATTAGCAGTTAAAAAGCCGGCTAACAATGGGGGCATGTCAATCGCTGTGGGGTCTGTTGACTCAAGCGTTGCGGCGTTAAGTATACGCCATGTGTGCCAGTGTATGTGTGCCAGTGTTTGTAACCGGCCGCCGGATGTCATATAGCAAAATTGAATTTTTCGTTGCACAGTAGCAGTATGAGTAGTTGGAGTAGCTGGAGAACCAGCATGAGGGATATAAGCAGCATCGGTAGTCCGCCACAGCTGTTTGCCCCGTCATCATAGCCATGGTTTTGAATTGTTGACATCGACGACGTTTGTCCTGCGAGCACAAAGCCAAGCGATTCGTTTCTGTACATCAATACATATCTGTATAGAAGTTACGCTATCAGCTTTATTTGATGTTTAGCAATTTCCTGATTTATCCCTCATGTCATTTCCGTTTTGCATTTGTATGCGCTGACCACCGTTCGACCCCCGGGATAGAAAAAAGCTTCACAAATATGAAAAGCATTGAAATGAAATTCTATGCTTTCTCCGCCAGTCAGGATTTCTGGATATCAGGATGTACACGTATATGTATATGTATGATTTTATGTAACTGAGTCTTGTATTTGTGTGGGTGGGCGTATGCCTGACTGTATTGGTATATGTGATTACGTGTTTTTCAATGGCACTTCCTGCTCAGTCGTTGAGTTACGGATAAAACCCATCACAGACCAGCTAGCCCTCTATTTTTAGCTATTTTTGTGGCATTTATGATTTGATTTATATGTTTATATTGCAGTTTATCTGTGTGGCTCTCGACAAATTATTGGTTTGGGTTCCAGCCCCAAAATCCCTTAACTAAATCATATTTTTGATCCTATTTTGATGGAGCTTATTGAATTTAAAGTTGTCAAGTATTTTCAACAATTCAGTATGTCTGCCCTCTGATGGTCTAATTAAAATGAGACATCATTACAGAATCAATTGAATTTACAAGCCACCAGAATGCCACCATGTAACACTACGGCCAATGAATTTTTCTCTCTTTGTAGCCGAGGACAATGTAGCCAGTTCCTTTTATTTGCTGAGGATAACATTATTTTTATGCAAAACATGAGCATTTAATAGAACGCTCTACGAATTTTTAATGAGCTCCCCCAGCATGCTGGATGTATGCAGGTTCTTTTTTATTTGAACATTTTACATGTTTTATGAGCTGTTCTCCTGCTTGTTTTTCTTCTTTTTTTTTGTGGGTGTTGGGCACAGGTAGACCACCCAACTGACACTCCTAGTCTTCCAGCCTGGCAGGTACCTTTTTGGCCATGCACTCGCCGCTACACGTACGGGTAATCAAATCAGTTGGTGAGGCAACTGCGTGCGTCACATAAATTTGTGCACATTTACCAGATAATGAGCACAATTAGCAAATGGTTGAGGGAAGTGGGCTCCAAGAGAGAGAGTAACGCTATTTGAGGACATTTACTTATTCAGAGAGATGGTTGGTAAAAGCTTTCTTTCCCGGGTCCAAATCGGTGGGAGCAATATCTCAAGTTCTCGCCCGCCATCTACCGCATTGCACCTAAGTAAATTATCGTGTTTCATTTGCCAAGCCATCAGTTGACCGCCCCCTTACCGTCACCGCCCAGCACCCAACACTTAGTCACTTGGTTTCATGAGTAAACACATCTTATAAATTATTCAAAAACGCAAAAAAGCTATTTGCAACACTTTACCGTTAGCAATGCCACCGTCAGTGCCGTTAGCATACATTTTTTAGCATTTCTTCGATGTCGCTTGATGCTGCTGATGCTGATGCTGCTTCCACTGCTGCTGCTGCTACTGTTTGGTGTTGCTGTTGCTCGTGTTGCCTTTGTTGCTGCCGCTGTCCCCGGCAATCAGTCAAAAACTTTGGCGCAACATATGCGTAGGAGGAAGCAGGAAAGAAAACCAGGTAACAGCAGCGGGCAAAAAGCATGACAAATGAAATGTTCAACTTGCGCTTAAAGCCAACAAAAAAATGGAAATAAGAAAGAGACGAGCGCTGAAAATAAGGTGGCACACAAAAAAAAAACAAGAACCCGGTAGTATATTTTTTCGGAGGTAGTACATCACCCCCATCCTCTGGACGGCAATGGAAAGTAAAGTCGAGTGGCGTCGAGTTGAGTTGAGTTTCGGCTGACAAAGTGGCTCGTCTTACGGCAGCTTCACTGCCTTTGCCGATGGCCAAGTAAAAAGAGACCTGTCCAGCAGGATTCACTACCACGGGCTGCTTTTCTCCAATTTTTTTGGGAGGAAGGGAAATTCTTGCTCTGTCTTGCTAAGGCTTCGTTCAAATATTTAACTTAAGTAAGCGTTTGTAATTAATTTCACGCTTAATACTGACACTTTGCCACACTTTTCAACACTTTTTCCGCCATCCGACGCGGCGGGGCTTTCGTCTCGCTTTTATGGCATAATAAACACGCATTTTATAATAAAGTCAAAAAAATTGACTGCATAATTTATGTGCGAGAGGCGCGGAGTTTGCGGCAAGCGAGCTGCGAGCTTTCTTGGCTCCCTTTTTGCTTTTTTTTTTGCGGGTAATTGATGTTCTTTGCCCAGCAATTAACCCCACCCCAACCCTCACAACCCCAAAAGTCAAGATTTATGTCCTGACGAGAGTTATGTGACGAATTTTCCGAGAGAATTCTCAATTACACGCAATTAACTGCAACAATTTTCACAATAAACAAAGACAGCTCACACTGCGTATACGTAATCGAGACTACACGTTGCGTATACGACTAGGTGACTTTGGTTCATGAAGTGGAATTCCTTTGCTCGTTTTTTAGCAATGAATATTGATCACCTTGGCAGTTTACAATACTTTCACACTCCGATGGGAATCTGAATTATGTATGAACCAAGAAATACTTGCAAGTGAGTCGCCCCACTCTGCATTTTATTAACTCCTGCCATGTTTAATTAATTGCTGTCCAGGCAATTAGCATGCCGGCAGACTCACTCCCTCACATGTCAGCAACAGCAAATTGAATTTTGTTAAATTGTAAACCGTACAGCTGCATACGTACGTACATATATCTGAGGAGTGTATCTCTGCTTTACACACATATTTGCAAATTCAGGAATTGTTTACTGTCTGGCAGGCAAAATGAAACAATTAGTGCCTGCCTGCCCTGACACACGCCTGGCCCCGAAACTAGCTCCGAATCAGAAAGCTGTATCTTGCCATTGCCGAGGCACTGACCCTTATAATTTGGCCTAGCCCTATGCCTAACTTGTCTAAAATATTTGGGCAATTCATTTTCTTCTAAACTAATAAGTTGTGGCTCTTACGGTCGGAGAGGCAGGTTGTTTTATCTCATAATGAAATACTAGTAGACTAACTGGCTCTTTGCTAACTGTATTGTTTGGCCTAGCCCTCAGAAGTTAACATATTCATTGAATCTTAATCTTCTTTTGTGAAATTTTTGCAAAGATTTTTTAAACCTAATTGCCTACTTTCTCATTAAAAGCAATCATATATACATTACCATTTTAAAGACCCCCTCCAAGGTTAGTGGGTCAAAGTCAGATAAGAACTCTTTCGCACCTTGAGTGAGTAAGAAAATTTTTCAGATAAGATGACTTCCAGCCGAATTGGCGAACTGCAAACAGATATAATTACAAAGTCTGTTGACTTACCGATAAGTTCCGACGCACTGGCGATATAAAGCCAAGACACAGAAGTATCAGTCAGTCAGACACCGCCATGTACTCGACCGGATTTTTATGGAGCATTTTGCTTTTCGGATCGCTTGTCCGGGCCACACCCACACCCGACAACGGACGGATTGTGGGCGGCGAGGTGACCACTATTGAAGAGTTTCCGTATCAGGTTTCTGTCCAATACAAAGGCCAGCACATCTGCGGGGGATCCATCATTGGGGAGCACTTTTTACTGACGGCAGCCCACTGCTTCGAGCAGCCCTACAGCACCGAGGACTATGCCGTTCGGGTGGCGTCCAGTCAGCACGGGAGTGGCGGGCACCTGCTCAGCCTGCGGCAGATTATCACCAACGGCGGCTACAATCCCCAGAGCCATGACAACGACGTGGCGCTGCTCATCTTGAATGCCAGGCTCAATTTCACCGAAAACCTGCAGCCTGTGCCTCTGGCCACCGATTCTGATTCGCCGCTCAATGCCAACACCCGCCTTATAGTCAGTGGATGGGGCTTCCAGGCGGAGGAGCAGCCGGATGAAGCAGATGCCGAAAAAGTCGGTGTCTCGCCCCAACTCCGATTCGTGGATGTGGACTTGGTGGAGACGCCTCAATGCCGGCAAGCTTACCGCCAGGTCCTGCCCATAACACCGCGGATGGTGTGCGCCGCCCGCCCGGGGCAGGACAGCTGCCAAGGAGACTCCGGCGGACCGCTGGTCGGTCTGCAGCCGGAAGGAGGACCGGCCAAGCTGTACGGCATAGTTTCCTGGGGTCTGGGCTGTGCCAATCCAAACTATCCGGGAGTCTACACAAGGGTCAGTGCCTTTCGTAACTGGATCTACGCCCACATGGGTGCCTGGGGCTGGAACGGTCTCTTGAAAGGATGGAGTGGACTGCAATGATCATAAAATAAAAATAGAAAATGTTCTTAAGGATATAATCTTAAAATAGAACATAATCTGTGATTATTTATTTAACCTCTTAGTTACCAACCCGATTTTATTTAAACATATTCTATTTAAGATTTGCGGTGAGCTAGTCTTCTTTCTGTTTTTTGGGCCCAAGTGCATAAGTTACCTGACAGCAACCGCAGGCACTAGGTTTTTGCTCTTCTTGATGTGATTTCATTTGAATAAATCAATTGCCACATGCACAATTGTTGCCACACGGACCACAACCACACAGCAGACCATAACCTGGCCAAAACAGTGCGACAGACAGACTGTCGGTCGTAGAGTCATTTTGTCAGTTTGCTGCTGCGGTTTTCACACTTTTTTGGCAGGCCCACACATGCCAAAGTTATCATTGGTGTTATTTCAATTTCTGTTTTTCTTGAACACTTTTGGCCCAAAGCCAGAGGGAAAGAGTCAACGAACCGCCGGAAGGAGCGAGTCCATAAGCCTTTTCGCGTGGCCCGCGAAATTGGATTGGCTGTCGATGCTGATTTAGGCCTAATCTTGATATTTGGCTAATCGGCACACAGTCGGCCAATAAATTGCCGGGGCTTAAAAATCCAGCTAAATTGGAAAGGGTCTTCTTTAGCCGCGGGCCCATAAATAAGCATGACTGTCAGAAAGTAAGTGGAGCAAGGAGTGGTGGTCCTGCAAGATGGGCAGCCCGTGGACCTAAGTGAAAGTCCTGTCCTGGTATCACGCATATTTATTTATTTATTTCCCTTTTCGAACAAATATTTATTCCGGCAAATGGTCCGCTCCTGGCTGTGGGCGGATTTCCCTTTGCATTTGTAAAAAGTTTCCGCCCACGCACCTTAACCAAAAGCGTGGAAATTTTTGCAATTTTTGAACTGTCACAAACACGAAACTTGTCATTTGATACAATATACTTGTATATATTTCCGACTCTTCCCGATTTATTTTTAATTTATTCAAATTCAAGAAATGGCTATGGTTTTTTAAAGAGATTGAAGAAATTCAAGCCGAAAACACTGGTGCCAGCGCTGGGAGATGGGTGGCCGATGGGTCACCGGGTTTCTGGGTTCTCTCCTTTGGGGTATCAGTTTGTACGGCTGCCTTACCACCGATCCGCTGAAGAAGCCCTTCGGCTACTTATCCTTTGTGCTGGCCAAGTCGCACGGAATGCTGGGGATGCTGAACAGTCTGCAAAAGCACGACAAATGTAGTGAGGCTGCCCGATTTGGGAAACTGATGGACTGCGTCCAGCTTACTCTGTTCAATAGTGAGTTATACGAGCAGTCCGAGGGGCTTGGCAGAGCGATTCTTTACGGGATGTGCATGACCCCGCTGATCCACACCATGGCCAAGGATCCGAATCAGAAGCTGTGGAAGTGCCTGCTCACATTCTACAACTGCAGCTCCCTTACACTTCGGGCCAATAATGATTCCAACTGGCTATGGATTGCCATTGGCATGCTGCATTTTGTTACCGTGGAAGGCATTGAACTATTGGGTGGGAAGTTTCGTAGAGCTATTGGACCACAAATCGCCTACATAACCCGGATAATTGTCACTTATTTGGCATTGCAGGCAATTAATGGAACGCCTTAGATCACGATTCAGACTTCTGTTAGTGGAGGCCCTTAGTCATAGAAATTCTTAAAATAAATAAACTTCAGGTAGAGCACAGTATTTTTTGGATTTGCAACCTCAGCTAACAAAACACCTGAAAGGAAGTGTTCACTAAACACGTCTCGATGTGTTTTTCGAGTTCTGTAACTCATTTGCAACTAAACTGGGTTCATTAAAGTTAATACGAACGTGCAACACTGGCATGCCACGCAGTGCGAAATAAAAAGATGTCGGAGGAGGCAAAGGCGGAGGCGGGCGAGTCATTGGCATCTGAGGTCTCTGCACCCCTCTGGCACGTGGCTTAGCGTCTATAAGTTTGACATTTTCGCATCGCAAAATGACAACTGCAAGCCCGAGTCCTGGCAGAGTTGCAAAATGAAAAAGTTGCCAACACTCTGCTGACATTTGCATTTGTCTATGCAGGAGGTGAGCGAGGGCAGCGAGGTGTTAAGTGGGATGGGGAAAGAAAAACCTTTCAAATTAGAGCCAAGCAACTCCTGGTAGGTCCTGGAGTTCCTCGAGCTCCTGTCGCACGTCTGGCCAGGTAGGAAAAGAAAATACGCAAATAATTAGCTGCAGTGGGGGAAAAATAGCATTGGAAAAGTTGGCCAACAGACTTGAAGTTTCTGCCACTAATCAATTTGATGTGCCGTTGCTTGTCCTCCAGAGGAGTATCTCCTTTAAAGGACCTCCTCCTCGGAAAACAAAGACATAAAGCGAACATTAGGAGCATTTGCATTGCCAAGCGTCTAACATCTCTTATCTCCTTTCGCTGCCAGCTTCTCTAGACAGCTTTTGCACACTTTCCCACTTTTGTTATTCCGCGTATTATGTTTCCCCCCCCACCCATCCATGCCACATCCCACTTCCTCCTACTGTTTTTTTTTTATCCGCTTCCATGCATGCCACTTACATTTTACATTACGCGCTTTTCCCACTTAACTGGAAAATGGTCGTGGCGTCCCAAATATCCCGGAAAATATTCTATTGGCGGTGAGAAACAATAGCCTGATATGCCCGCCTCCGGCTGGGAGAGGGTATCCCAAAGAAAATGCATGCAGATGGAAAAAATTTCCATGCGTTAGGTAAGTGAATGGCTGCCAGACAGGGACAGGACCAAGGAAAAACGAAAAGGAGCCAGGAGTTGGACTGAAAAGCACTAAAAAGTATTATCTAAATGATAATTTGTTGCTTTGTTTGTTGAGTAATGTAATTTCGCATTCCTCCCCCCAAAGCTACTGAATAATGCACATTAAATATTTTATGCGTTCCGGCTAACCAGAATAAACCTTTTAAGAAAAATGTTATAATTTTAAATAAATTAAAAGTCCAGCATGGAAAACTTTACTTTTTAGTTTCTCGAGTAACTAACAAAAGTTGTAGCTAGAAGTCTGTTTGTTTTTATTTGCTCAATTGAACGGGCAGGTGAACTAGACAAACAATGTTAAATTCACATAACTTGTGTCAACTAACTAAGAGCACAACTATTTCGCATTATCCCTTAAAGGACAAACCAATCGAATAGCCCATTCGATGGCTCGTTTTTGAGGCCGACTCACCTGCAGCACTCAGCTCATTCGGAATCGGAATCAATTGGAATTGCAACGCAACTCGCAATGCAATTAAATGCCAAACAAAGTTGAGAAAATTCAATTTGAGAAACTAAAATCGTTGCTGTCTCATCTCGGTCTCTATCTCCTTGGTCCTTGGTTGCGTCGTTGTGTCGTCCTTTTTCCTTTTGGCCAGTCCAGTAGCTGCGGACTGTGGACAAGTCAAAAGCCGAAAGGCAAAAGGCACAAAAAGCCAAAAGCAAAGCTCTGAAATTCAATTCTGTTGCGCTCGATTGCGTTGCATTTCAATATAAATATTTATTTTATTTATATATCAAGGATCAGGGGTATAGGGGCTGCCAGTTCATGGCTATAAGGAGCTTCAAGCTGGCGGCTGGGGGCAGGGGCTACTAGCTGAGGAGTGGCACACACAAATGGACAGAGCGACAAGTTGCAGCTGACAGTAAAAGATGTTGTGGAGCCCATTTGTTTTAGTCAATGGCAAGCACAAAGTCACTTCGGGTCCACTCAGCCAGTCGAGTTCCAGTTGAGTTCTTGGTATGCCAGCAGCCCAATCTCGGAATCCAACCCCCCTCCCCCCCGTATTGGAGGATGGGGCACTGCATTCGAATTCAATTTTCAAACTGATTTTCCCTACATCTTGTGTGTGTGTGAGCATTTTCAAATGCAATCGCCATAACTTTGACTTAGCCATGGGTTACCATTTCGAAGTCCTTGTCACAGCAGCCGATCAACAGAATCCGGAGGATGGAGTCCAGGACACATTGCGTTTAGTATTTGGTAAATGATTTCATTTCGTGCTGGCCAAACATACTGGCCTGGCCAATTTGTACAGCCTAGCAGTTGAGGTAAAAATATTTTAAATTCCACATGAATTCCTGAAATGAAACTCAGGTATATTTGTTTTACTATTTTGGGATGTGGTGGGTAATATGATATTGGATTTATTAAAATAATTAACAAAATATATGATACATAGTACAAGGTTTATAAAAACGGGAAAAATATTTATTTCATTTTGAAAACCTGATATTCTCTGCCTGAGGTTCACCTGCTGACCTGACCCTTGGACATACGCATGGGAAGGGAAGGGCAATATGTGTACATAGACATGAGCATTTTATGCACTCAGCCGTATTAAGTTCGTAATGCCGTTTGTAATTATTCTTTGTTTAAATATTTCACAAAGATGCACTTAAAATGTCAGCACAAAAAGTGACGCGCTTTTCGCACACACACACACTCACACACATACTTACACACGAAAAGGACTCGCCACCTTATGGCCCTTTCTATTCGCTCACTCTTTCATTATGATATCGCGCTGCCCTCTCTCGCTCTCCCGCCATTTTGCACATTTGCATTTTTATGAACATTTTCGCTGCTCACCTCACCCCGCCCCCCTTTCCCTATTCCAAATGTGTGTTCAGACAGAGCACCTCTCTCCTTCCAACACCCATAATGCATGTCCTTTATATGCGCATACACTAAATATACATTATATGTATGGATAGACGTGGGTCAGAAAGGGACGAAAAAAGGAGGGGCTGGAATTGGGCTGGCATTAAAGTATATTAAATTACTTAAGTCTTAAGCCAACGAAGACATATGCTCAACTTTTAAAGCATAATTTCTCAAGCATAAATCTTTGCGGCTTTCGCGAACAAACAAAAATTAGTTGCACTCGGCGACAGGCGGCCAAGGATGACGCTCACAAGAAGAAGAATAAGAAAAATAACAGGCAAAAGCAACGGTAAATTATGCCCCGCAATATGTCAGCGTGTTGCCTGCAGGACGATAGGATGGCAGGATGGCAGGACGGTAGAGGGAAAAAGAAAGAAAGCGAATGGTGCACCCATTGCGTTTGTCACACAGCAGGAGGCCAGCTTTTTGTTACAAGGGGGGTGGCGGGGGCGGCAGCTAGCTAGCTAGTGGGGGCGTGATGCACCCCATTCCCATGCTTAATCAGAAATTATTTGAAAATGTAAAGTCGACATGTCGACGCACGCACAGCGAGTGCAGCCGCAGGACCTCTAACCACACCCCCAACCCAAATTTCGAAGAACCACCACCCACCACCCCATCCCAGCCCGCTGGCAGCTGCAATTTGCACACGCCACGACCCCATGACCCACTTCGTGCGGAGCGAGAAAGAAATCTACAACAAGGAGCCAAACAAAAGCCAACTGGAATAAGGAAAACCTTTGGCGAAAAGGACGAAACAGAGCCAAAGGATCCCGAACAGACGAACCCAACTTTCATAGACTACCGCTGACTTTGTGCCACGCTGAGAGCGGCTGGCTGTGAAGAAAGCTGGGGACACTGGGGCAACCGAAGACTGAATCCCTGCAAAGTCCTGGCTCATTTGTTGGTAATACCCTATGAAAATAGTAATACCCTATGGCAGATGAAGGCCTTTAACAAGTTAATAGTTTAGGGATAATTTATGCATATAGTTCCTGAAACTCACGAGTCCTTAGGCCCTCTGGTAGAGTATTTTATTCTGATATTAGTTCTTCTCAGGACGTCTGTGATCCATTTCATTTCCAGTGCGACTTCATCTTGAACTACAAGCTGGCATGTCTGAGTCCACGCTGCCACGCCCACTGTGGCAGCCGCCCCGAACCGCCACGGTAATAATAAGTCATGTTAACTGAAAACCGGGCGTTGTCTTTTTTTTTCCACCATCTTCATCTTCTTCTTGTGCAACGCGTGGGGCAGGGAGGGCATCAACAAAAAACTTTTCGCGCACAATCAGTTGCATTTCAACATGGCACTGCATCATTGTTGCAACTCCTGCTGTTGTTTTTTTTTTCTTCTTGCCACTGCCACATCCATTGTTGCCTTTGGCTTATAATTTACTTTTGCTTGTGCGCTTTGGCTTTGTGCGGCTCCGTGTGTCGTGGAAAATATTTGCACAAGCCAGATGAGAAGGGACGCCTGGGTGGGAGGGTGGTTGCACGGGCAGAACAATGGCAGGAGCATTAACCATAATAATTTTCCGCCAAGAAGGGGGCCAATTGCAGCCCAGGACTGGTGCGTGGGGAGCCAGGGATTTTCCCCCGTCATTGTTAATCAGCAGCTGGTAAACAAAAATTGCTTCGAAACAAATATATCTAAGCATGCTTACCAAGACATTTTTATAAAAATAAAAGAAAATCCCGAAAATAAAAGAATAATAATTGACTTTCATATATTTTTATTTGTAACTAATCCATGAATTTATGCTTTAACATATACATAGTTATCGTCCATCACGTAAGATACGATACAAATGCTACAAGACCATCTTGTATTACAAATTTCTGATTGAAAAACGAAATGCATTTTCGAGATTCCAGGAGTCTTCAGATGAAGCGCCATCCCGATAGTGCCATCCCGATAATTAGTTCCGGGAAACCTTGTTCTCGTTGACTCCACGCCACAGCAACCAGGAACGTTTACGTGATCCAGTTGGATAGACGAGAGCTTGATCCTTTGATTTATCCAGATTGGCCGGGTTTTGGCTCTTTGGTTGGTCCTGTTGACGCATCGCTACATTCCACATACCGTCTCTATTGAATACATGTGGAAATCCTTCAGCTACGGTTCCTGGCTTGGCCCGCATCGGGAAGGTGCGGACCATCGAATTGAGGAATCGCTTCAGGCCCATTGCGTACAGAGTTGTGTAAAATCTCCAAAAAGGCGTAATTTAGACCGCAAGTGACGGGGAAATTTATAAATATCAGTATCGAAATTATATAGAAAAGAAACGAATTCACGAATAACCGATTAGGTTGAAGGTTGGATGAAATTTGAGAACTGTTGGGGCGACGCACGTCTACCCAGTATGAAGTTTCAAGCCAAGGCCTCCTTGATCCCTCGTTCTCATCTCATCCAGTTTTCGGAATGAGAAACTCTTTTTAAGAATTTTAACTGCTGACGAAGGACTTTCAACTCGTGGAACTCAATTAGGACGGGTGCACTCGCTCAATTCGATAATCGATTAGATTGCCCATTTTTGTGGGAAGCCGAGAAAACGGAAAATTGCTTAGAAGCCAGAAATGTTAACCAAGTCATAAATACATATATGGCCTAAAAACTTTTGCCAACCTGCTGCTGCTGCTAACCCCGTCGCGCCCCTTCCAAAATGCAATGTGAGCGCTTTGCAAGTTTGGCCCCCAGTCCAATTTTCAGCCAGCCCATCCAGCCAGCCCAGTCAGGCCACGAAGCTAAAATAATTGATAACAGATTATGTTTTACAATCTAAGCAGGAGATATATAATGCGAGCGTTTTAATGGCCACATGTAGCGGGGCACACGTAGAGAGGCCACCGGGATCCGGATCCGGCTCTGGCTCTGACTCTGGCCCCAGCACTCCCAGTAACCGCAAAACGTTTGCAAAACTTAATTATTTCGTTTTGACCTTTTTATCTTCGAGAGTGTGTGTGTGTGTGTGTGTGTATGGGGCGGGAAGTGCGCAGAGATGGACAGTTAAAAAAGTTATTTATTTTATGGTCGAAAGTTACTTTGGCCTGTTTTATGGCAGCAGGAGCCGGAAAGGAGAAGAAACCCTAGTCCCCAGTAGAACTGACAGAGCTGACCAAATGGTTATTTTTTGGCTTAAAATTTAGGACGATTTTGGTTTTTATTTTTATAAAATTTTAAATAATACAAAATTTACAAAAATTATGATTTAGGAAACTCAACTAATAGAAAGTTTAAAGACTATGTTTTTTATTTCTTTTTTTTTTAGGTTTTTATGTAGAGGAGTACCAGGTATCATATCTTTTCATTTTTCCTGATTTTTCTGAATCTAAATAATTTATGAATAAAATAAACAAAAATATATATATAATATATATTTGACATGGCCAATTTTTATTTTCATTTTATTTCAGCAATTTCAGGCTATTTTAAGCCATCTCTGTGATTTTCTTGGTCCAAGGGCCACGTGAATTCACTAGAGCATGGGGCATAAATCAAAAAACGAAGAGAATTTCAAACTGGTGGCGCAAACGTGGTCCTGGATGCCAGGGCAATTTTATCCTACGATCGAAATCTTGGAAACGGACTTCTTCTGTTCCTCCGGATCTATCACGGTGACGGTTCCCCGATTACTATGAACCGTGGACGACCGGTTGGAAGTCAACTGTGCCTGCGATGGAGAAACTAAAGGAGCATCCGGTGGCTGTTCCTCATCCTTGTTTGCCATGGCCCGCAACACCGAATCCTTGAAGAAGGCCGTCTCGTCGATCTTGCGTCGGTACATTCCGGTCGGATGCTCCGGATCAAAGGTGACATCCGGTCGGATATCACTGTCTGTGACCAGGACACGGGCTCCGGGTATGGGCAGGAACTTGAAGAGGCGCTTTCGCAACTTGGGCATGAAGGTGACCTGCTGATGGTTCGGAACATGGTGCAGCCGACTGCCCACCACTTCTGGGATGTCAATGGGATGGTCCTCCAGTCGCCGTTCCGGCGGCAGCTTGGCCTTGATCTCCTCCAGTTGGCGATTGGTCAGCTGGAGCGGTCGTTCGCCATCCTTCCACCGCTCCTGGCCGCTATTGAAGGCTATTTTCTTGTTGTTTTTCAGCTGCTTGCGCATGACCCGCTTGGAGGCGCAGTTGTAGGTGATCTTGGGCACATATGGGGCTACTGGGAAGGGCCGCGTGGAGATATCCTGACGCTGCGGCTGACTCAGCATATTTATGTACTTGGAGTCGGCAAACATGTTGATAAGTTTTCCCGGTTTCTTGGAAGTCGCCGCTTTCCTTGGCTTCGGCTTGTCCTTTCTGCCCATCATGAAGAGATGCCTAAATCCCTGGCCCTCCACATGCCGCCAGTCGGGCTCACACAACTTTTTCCGACTGATCCGCTCGAAGGGCTGGCGCCGGAATTTCAGACGCTTCTGATCATCAATTAGCAACTGAAGCTGTGGCACACTGATCTTGCCCGCCGGACAAGGACACACGTCGGGGTAACTGGTGCAGTATCGTCCCGGGGCCGGTAGCATGCTTATGTGGCGCGGAATCAGTCTGTGTGGCTTGGTGGGCACACAGGAGAGCGGCAAAAACAAATGCGGATTCGGGCGGGCAGTTTTGGTGATGGGCGTGGCATTGGCATTTATCTCGTAGACATTCGTGTAAGTTTCGCAGGGCCCAGGGTCCTTGGGATTGCGATAGCAGCCCGAGAGGCTTGAGATCATGCAATGGGTCGTGGGGCGTCGGTCGCGGGCATCTGGAAGAGATACATATACTATGTATATCTGATGCCCAATATGAGCCCCTCTTATAACTTACTTGAAAGAAAGATGCCTTTCTGGGCATTCTCCCTCTTGGAGAGACGCTCGATCTCCGCTGGCAGTTCATAAAAGCGGTACGGCGGAGGTTTGATGACAACGCGGCTGTGGTTGGTATGTGGTTTGGCGAAAACGGCGCCTTTGTTGCCCATCAGACGCTGGAAGGGAATGGGCGGCACACCATAATGATTGGGCGGCAGTGCCCAGCTCCTCCACTTGGTCATGCTGCGATCCAGTTTGAGGGGCCTTCGTTCCGGATACGGATTCTTCACTGACGGGTCAAAGCCCGTAATGTGGCGATAATGGTCATACGTAGCCTTGCTATAGGCCTCCCTGCTATTCTCTATGGTAAGAGTTTTTAATTTGGGTTGAAAGTTAGATTCCAAAGAACTCACCCTTCTGGCAATCTTCATTGTAGTGCTTTCCGGCCAACTTGAATTGCTTCTGAACACGTGGCAAGTTCTCCTTTTTAATGCGGTTTCCTGCAGAATCATCATAACTCATAAATCCCAGGGCAGCCGGAAAGGGACAGGACAAGACTTACGTGACACCATAAAGAGCGGCAGACTCATACGAGTGGCCACAAAATTCTGGCGGTCCTCATTATGTATCTTTGGCGGTTTCTTCTCCATGTTCGTGTGATTCCTTCAAGATATATATAATTTATTGTTTACTTAGAGAAGCTCAAAAGTGTCTAGTGGGGGCTAAGTAATCACTAGAGATATGTTTGCTTTGATTAAGAGCGGAGCATCTCAACCACAAGTTGCTTAAATTTCATATCTGAAATCAGCGTTTAATTTATTGTTTGGGGGTAAACTTATTAGTAGAACCATTGATTCTACCGCTTGTACCGCTTGCGGAGACGGATTTAAATTGCAGCTGAATTGACAAGCGAATAATTTGGTTACCTTGCCATATAAAACCGTCAGAATATTTGTCAATATACCCATATGCATCCCACACCCGTCCGTGCCAGTCACCCATCCACAGCCGCACACACAGTGGCCACATAATTAGCGTAGCCAAGCGAACTGATTAACTTGCATTCAACGATTTTCAATTGAATTTTGCAGTTCGTTGATTTGTTCCAAAAAAAAAAATAAGAGAATAAAACAAAAAATCGCAACAAAAAGCTGTATGGAGACTGCCGTGCAATTTCAATCAGCCCGGAAGGGCGGAGAGTTCCTGGGGGATGAGGATGGGGATGGAGGCGGGTCCAGTAGTCGGCAGTCGGAGGAGCCCGAAGCAAAGTGAATCGAAAACATGCAACCGGGCAAATGATGAATGTGAAATGTGCCATTAATTAATTTGATTAAATGCAGGCAATCAGCCGAACGAAGGCAGCCCGCCAGAGCCCAGAGGGCTGCCATGGGGGAGGAGCTGAAAAGGATTTCCCAGGAAGTCAAGTACGGCTAAAGGATATCTTAAATAAAGGAAGGCTTAATGCAACAAATTTAATTATTTCAGAATATGCGTTTTTAGGCCGAGAACATTTTCACTAAACTATATATTTATGGGACTAGGCGTTTTCGGCATCTTCATAGGTTTTTATTTCCTTGGGCTTGGCACTAAATTGCTTGCCTTTCTTAGCCGCCTTCTCCGCATCCTTGGCGGCCTTAAGCTTGGCCTCCTTCTTGGCGACCTTGGCTTCTGCCTTGGCCTTCTTAGCGTCTGCCCTGTCTTTCTTGGCCTTCTTCTTTAGCTCCACTGTTATGAGAATTATAAGTCAATTACAGGATATTCTAAACTATAGTAGGATCATCTTACCATTAACCAACTGGGCGGTGGCCAGGTTCACAGGCAATGGAGCGCACTTGAAACCAGCTGGCGGAGCTTGGCTCAACCTGATGAAACGCTGACCGGTGGCGTAGAGCAGACCCAGACACGCCTGCGGGCGGATGCGACCCTTGGGCCAGTCCTTGAAGTACAGATCCTTCAGCTTGATCTCGGCCTTTTTGACACCCTCGGTGTCCCGCCAATAGCGCATTACCCGCTCAGTGGTCTTGTCATTGATCTTCCAGCTGTGACCCCTCGGATATGTTTGGTAGCTGTTCATACAGCTGGGCTTGTCCACATAGAACCAAACATCGGCATTCGGGTAGAACTTCATCTTGGCTTTCGGATTTTGAACTAATTTAGTAGTTTAAAAAAAGAAGAAAAAAAAGCCAAAAATTAAAAAAATGTTCGGAGTTATTCTTTTGGTAGAATTGTTCCGAATTCTTAGAGTTCTAAATAAAAACTGAAGGCTCCAGGACTGCCTTGATTCAAACTATTCCTCCAGAGCTCAGTTAGTTTTGTACATTGTCTGTGCCCGGCTTAATACTAAAACTTATTTTATTTAGCCTGCGAGAATTAAACTTAACTTAAGCAGCTAAACTGCTGGCTAGTTATAGCTCTAGTTACTTTCCGCCGTAAAAACTAAGCGGGCACTTGCTGCCAAAAGTTAAGCTCGTTAGAAGGTGAGGAGGATGAGCCAAAGTCTTCTGACTTGTCACACTAAAGCGACAAAGGTGATGTCGAAAAACTGTCAATTAAGTTTAATTATTTTATGCTGCGAGAGAGTGGAAAGGACTTCAGCAAACACACACACACACACGAACACACAGATGGCTAATGTGCAAAAGGCGTCTTATGCAAACTCAAGGGGGTGAGTCGGTAGAGGATGGCAGGAGGTCGCTGGGGCTAAGCAAAGTCAATTATCCAAGCAGCTTTGATGCAAGTAATTGGCATAATGAAATTTCCTCTCCAGCCAACACGACAAGGACAACCGCAAAGAATAGAAGCCGCAGCAGAAGCAGCAGAAGAGCCAGAAAGCCAGTAAGCGCAGCAGTGGCAGTAGCCATAACCGTATTAGCATATCGGCCAGGGATCAGGGGTTGCGGAAACTTTCAGGGTTTTTACTGACAACTCGTGGCTTTGCCTCTTTTTTTTCTATATATATTTTTCCTTTTTTTTCCCCCAGTTCTCAAGCTGCGTATTGAGTAAATATTTAAGCAGTCCGCCAGCTGTCGCACAATATTAATAGCATGCATCCGGGCGCAACTTGAACTCCGGCTAAATTCTTTTTTTTAGCCAAGACACAAAGGACACAAAAAGAAACAAGACAAATACCAAGGAAGGAGAGACACACGCCACGCTACGCCAGGCCAACAGTGGCTGCCTTCTGGCCCCAAAGTGCAAATATGTTGCGGCCAAAGCCACAAAAACGTTTAAATATTTTATAAGCCAAAGGCACTTGCCAGCCGGAGTTGCAACTGAGCCAGAGGAGCAGCAGAAGCAACTAACTGCTGCAGTTACCAAATCGTCAACAACTAAGGCAGACGGAAACGATATCCATACATATACATATGTATATATTGTAGATATATTCGCACACCCAGTCGCTGTCTAATGGGAATCGGTTTCAGCTGGCTGGTGGAAAGCCGAAGGTATATTGGTGGAGAAAGTCAGCTTAGGACTGGATCATCTTGTTGATAGTCTTTGTTCTGGGCTTTCAGCATTCAGTTGGGCATTTGTTGTTTGAAATATACCTCTTAGTTGTTGATAAAGAGGGTTTTCTTGCAATCTAGTTTGAACGTTTTTAGGTTGAAGTCAAGATCAAAATAATATTACGTATACGCCCTGTGGTCCAAGAAGAGCTCTATAAGCTGTTAAAAATTAGTCTTTATTTATGAGTCATTATAATCTATATATAAAAAACAAACATAATATACATATAAATTTGTTAAATCTTAAATAGGATATGTTTCAATCCCTTTACAGGATATCCTTATATCGAATACCCTCCATTTACCAAGAATCCTCTCTAAATATCTCGACTACTTTTTAGTTGATTCTGTTGCTGTGGTGCCCAACTCGTTTGGCATTCCCCTAATGCCATGAATTTTCGTCGGTTACATTTCAGGCTGCCCCTGGTCCCTGGTTTCGGGCTCCTGGTTCCTGGACCTAGTCCTGGTTGTTCCCTCCCCTCCCCCTGTTCCACTAAATTCAGAGGATGCTGCACATTGTCTTTGGTGGTTGTGGGGATGGTGACGGCGGCTGCATTGTTGCATTGTTTCGGTTGCATATGAACGACAGCTTTCCACACTTTTTATCGTTGCCATCGCTGCTGCGCTCTGCTACTTATTATAGCATTTTTTTGTTGTTTGGTATCCGCTTTCTTGGCTTTTGTGCGCAAATTTCCATGGGGAGGCTCAGCCGTGGAGCTTTGCGGAAAATAAAAATGTTCGGTCGTTCAGCTGATTTCGGTGGGACATAATACACTTGTTTAACATTCAGTAACTTAAAGACCCTGCTCTAGCTTCGCTTTCTCTGCGAGTGCTGCTGCTGCTCCTCTGTTTGAAATTATCGTATTTCAATTGGATTTCTCACATACGATTTGCATAATTGAATTTGGCCGCCATCATGATGTTGGATAATTTATGGGGAGAGACCGAACACCAAGCGACAACTCCCGCATCAACTTCACTTTGGGCAGGAGCTCATTTCTGGATAATTATGCCGCCGAAGATGCGTCTGCTTTATTTTTATCGAAGCGCATTAAAAGGCTTTTAAAATTTATTGATATTACCGACTCTATTAAATTATGCCACCACCTCGGCGACCGAATATTCTGTCTCTGGCTATGGCTCTTTGTGACGATGTTGTTGCTTTTATTTTTGTGCCCTGATCTTGTTGTTATTGTTGCCGCTTTTACATCCTGACTGAGTGACGCCTGGCAATGGCAGCGAATTTTCCATGTCGCCACTGGCAGCACCCAACATTCAACATCAAGAGCAGAGCGTCCGTTGACTGGCAGCAAAATTGGCAATTCCAAAGCATCAGCGACGCGGCAGCGGCAGTGGTAGTGGCGACGGCATCAGCATCGGCGACTTTTACCATTGCCCCTAAGGGGAGGAGGGAGGAGGGCAGGAGGTAGCAGGCGTGGCACGCCTCCATAAGGATGAAGCAAACTCAATTTGTGTGAAAAATACTTTTAGTTACTGTGCATATTTTAAATGTTACGCAGCGGCAGCCACAAAAACAGCAACATCAACGCATCAACATCATCGTGATGTGAATTTTATATACATATGGAAAGCAACAACAACAAAAAAAAGAAAATAAAATTAAAAATTATATTTTATAAAAGATGGAAAACGATGAAAAGTGGGTGCAGGGCACATGGGATGAATTAATGCATAAAGACTGTCAGCCATTGAAATCAGTTTATTATGCACATATACACGAGCGCGGCATACGTGGCGTATGATTGATAAATTTGCACTTTGAAAGCTGCCAAAATGTAAAAAAAAAAGAAAAACAAGCGAAAGTAAATAGAGAGCATAACAGTAAGGGAAAAGGGCTAAAAAATATAGTTAGAAACCATCCGATTTTAACACTTAAAACTATATATCCCCTTTATTTAACATACTAATCCCCTATAATTCTTTTAACATTTTAAAATATTTATTCCATTTAAACCTTTAGGCTAAAAACCATTATAAAAAAACGAAAATTAAAGCCAATGCTCCGCCAATAATTAAAATTCATCACGCATTCTGAGCCCGACATGGAAATGGTTACAAAGAACCAGCAAAGGGAATCACATTTTGGCCAACATCACACTTCATTAGCACAGGTTATCGCGTTGTCTGCCTCTCTGGGAGTGTGTATGTGTGTGTGTGTGTGCCACACCCCTTTGGGTAACATTCGAAAATTTCGCATGCACATGGCGCAGACATTTGAAAAACGGCCAAGCCATGGAGCCCCGGAGTTACCCATACCGTATTCGAGAAAACCCCGCCGAAAACTGCAAAACTCCCAGGCACGAAAAAACTGCAAAGTTCGAAAACAGACACAAGCGAAGACGGGTTTTTTTCCGGGGGAGGAGGTATGAGGAAGGAGGAGGGCGTCAAACCGACCAGAGAAGCCAGAGGATTTTAGATTCGGAGGGGGCGGGACCGGGTGCCACTGAAGTGGCAGACACGTAACCCCTTTAGCTGGTGTCAAAGGCAACATACAAATTCGAAGCTCCAACAACAGCCATAGAGCCGGAAAAAAGGGCCAAGAAGAATGGGGGGAGGGGAGGGGAGCCAGGCGGCGGGGTCGCCGGGCGCCATAAATTATGCAACGCGCGGTAGATGCTGCAATCTGATGCCCTTCTGTCCTCCACGCGGCCCCGCATCCCCTCTGCATTCAATTTGAACCACTCCGCTTCGTGCCCCATCCCCTTGTGGCACAATTGGCATGGCGGAAGTAGCAATTGCTGGGCACAAGCCTATCCGTGGAATGTGGCATCCACCAGGCCATCAGGCCACCGGGCTGCTGCCGCTACTCAATCATCAATCCGCGACCGGCAGCAGGAGTGCTACTTGCAACTTGTGCAGCCAGTCGCAAAAAGGTCATGAAAATTCGAGACTGACGAAGACAATCGAATTTGCGAACTGATTTCGGGCCTAAATTCGGTGATTTGATCCTGGAACAGAATAATAAGGAAATGTATCATAAAATATGTTCGACTTTGTTTGTGGGGAGACCAACATTATTAACCCATGACTTTCTTTATCCAGTATCCTGTATCCTTTGCTAATAACTTGCCTGTGTTTACTAAGTAAACTTTACTTGAAATGAATATTATTAAAATAATGACAATTATCCGAGACTCTAGTAAAAGTAGTAGCATAGGGCTATAAGGGGTTTGAGACCTATCTTCTATAATATAAAAACTACAAAATGTACAAAAAATATATAAATATTTTTCAGATCTAGAATCTTCTAGATTCTTCCTATGAGAATTTAGTCTTGTCATGATTTTTCGTAGTTTTGTGCAAAAACATCGATGTATGGAGACATAGATGTTTTCAATTCTTTTCAATCATCGATGATAAAACATCGATTTTTTTTAAAATGTAATTAAAAATTTTTAAAACATAAGTTCATCAACAATATCGGGGTTGAGTCAAGTCCTGCGGTCAGAAATTATTTGCTCAGCTTTGCTAAAGGCCCTTTCTGACTCGCAGGAAGGTACCTTTCCTTAGGTTTTCCTCTTGAAAGTGACATTACAAAAACATCGATGTTCAAAGAGTAACATCGATTTTTTCGAAAATTTTGAAAAACATCGATGCACCGATGTTTTCATCGATGTGTTTGCACCTCTAGCCAACATAGAGAAAAACATCAAAATTTTTAGAAGAAAAACCAAAACCGAACCAAAGAATATCAAACCGTATTATCTAAATGTATATTTGTTAAGTGAAAACTTTTGGAATATACTAGGACACAGGACAGGACACACAGCAGTGTCGCCATTATTGAGTTTTAAGTTTCCAATTTTGTTATTTGTGGATAATGGTGCTTCTGGAGACGAGCGATGGCCGCATTATACGCGTTGATTTCGGCCTATTGGAGCGTTCGGCGGTAATCAGAGATATGTGCCGAGTCAGTCAACCAGACTCGGGCAAGGAGTACGCCAAAGATGATGACTTTATTTTGCCACTCCACGGCATTCGCAGCAATGTCCTCTTGAAGGTGATGCTCTGGGCCGAGTTCCACAAGGACGACGAAGAACCTGCCTGGGTCCAGAAGGTAGCTCCAGCCCCCGAAGAAGTCGAGCTGCAGACCAGTGACTGGGACAAGGAATTTCTACGGGATAAGATCGACAGCGTCTACGATCTGTTGGAAGCGGCCGATTATTTGGACATCCGTTGGCTCTTCAAGCTGTGCGCCCAGAAGCTCGCCTTGCATAGCAAGCGACCGATGATCTCCAGTTTTAAGTTCTGGCTCTATCTCCAGAAAATGCCATCGTTGGTGGAGTTCAAGGGAGTTGCGACCTGTTGCCGAGACACTGCATAGTACCTATATATACGCAAATTCGAGGAATATTTCGGGAAATTTTTTGTGCACGTTTACTTATTTTTCAAAACATGTTTTCTCATTAAAAATTATATATTCCTTATACCTTAAAACCACACACTTTTGAGTTCTTTATTCCACTTCCTAATTCTTCTTAATTTGAATCCCCCCAAGAAACTTTTATTGACTACGCTTCTGAGAGGCCATCAACACAGTGTCCTTGCTTCCGTTTCCTTGGCGCCATCGGTTGACTTCAACCGACGTCTTCATTAGCTGGAGTCCTTCCTCTGTAGATCCCAATGTCCTTAGAGAGAGGGAAGAGTGAAGGAAACTAATAATTAACACTTTTTACTGCCAAGAGTCGATAATTGAATTACAGAGTGCAGTCAATGGCAGTTTTAACCCGCACACGTACACACACAAGTGCAAAGTCCTGGCAAATATCCTTTTCCCCATCAACGCCCCTGAATCCAGCTTCTTCTTCAAGTTTTTAGCAGCTGCCAGAAAAATATTCGCAAATGCAATCGCTTATACTACACCAACAAAAAAATACCAAAATCCAAAGGCAAGGGCAAAGGCAAAAATTCAAATGCAGCCAGAAGCTGCACCATCAGCAACAACAACAACAACAACAAGAACAACAATGCTGATGACAAGGAAGCCAAATGAATCAAAAAAAACAGGAAGGAGTCGAGAAGAAGGAGCAGACGCCAGGATTCGGGATACTTGCATAAAAACGTTTAATTAAAATTCAAGAGGTTTTGTTTTCAGAAGCTGCAAGATTTTGTTTTACTTTTCCACTCCGCCCCTGACCTTTCCCAGACCCTCCCCAAATCCCCACCATCCTGCAGTTTGAACGTCTTGAGTAATAGGTTCCGTTATTCGAAAAGGGGCAATGGTGGATTGGGCCAGTGTATGTGTGTGTGTGTGTGTAGGTGCAGGGCTAAAGGACTCGGGGTCAGCTATGCAAATTGGCGTCTGTTTTGGATCGGCGTTAATTACTTTGAAGTAAAGTGCAAGCGACTAGCAAGTGGAATCGAGAAGCGAGAGCCTGGAAAAAAGTGGACTAGGATGCCCTGGGAGGCAAAGGAGCTTTCCAGCTGCTGTAAGAATTGCATTAATGACTTCCAATTATGTCGAAAACAGACCGAGCCCGACATTAAGCCGTTTTTCCCAGGCTCAATATTAGTGCTTCAAACGGAATATTTCAATTTAAGTAAACAATGAACATTTTCGTCCAGAATAAATTCGTAAAAGTACCAACTATCTTTGGCTAAGCAAACCCCAATGATAAATGCAATATTTGGCCTGTCCTTGATAATTTTCTATAAGTCCTGCCTGCCTGCCTGGCTAGCTGGCTGGCTGGTGAGAAGTCCCTGGCGAATTTTTAGCTTTTTTTCGCGCCTGTTTCTTCCTCAGAGGCTCCTCCTTTCGTCCTTTTCTCCTTCTCTATTGGCAAAGCAAACAGGGTAGTAAATTTGAAAATCCAATTTGCATTTCCATCAATAATAACGGCCGCACAAAGGAATATTAGACGAGGACGAATCGCTTTCAGCCCCCCTCCGCCCTGATCCGCTTCTTCTCATTTTCTCAGTTTCGATGCGTTTTGGGACAAACGCAAAAAAAAACCAAGAATAGGAGGGGATTCAGGAGGGGATCACGAAGGATAGTGCTAAGGGAGGAGCCGTCAAAAATTTACCAATCATTAAAAATACTTCCACTTCCGTTTCCTGTGCGAGCCATTTTCTAATGCGCCTTCATGGCTTCCGCTGTCACACTGGAAGAAATTATTCTCGAAATTAATGTAGTTGAATTTATCCTTCTAGAGATATTTAGGGTAGACAATCCTGATCTTAGATATTTAGATTTTTATTTATTTTTTTCAGTGTATTAACCTCTCCCCTTCGCCCCCTCTCACGCTTTGTTTGAACAGCTAATGCTGGCCACGTTCCGTTGTCGTGGAGCGGCTCTGGCCTGCCACAGTTAGTCATCTCGCGCGCTGCTTTATGTAATTTATATCCTTGCTGCATTATCCTTTATTTACTTTACTTTTTAGCATTATATTTCCCCAGCATTCCTTTTACTCTCTTCTAGCTCCGGTTTGCCTGGCAAATTTATGTATAAAAATGAGCGAAATCGCAGAACACATTTTTTCCATTACTGAAAATAAATGTCTGAAGGATGTGCCAAGGCCCAGTCGTCGCAGCAGGACTCTGGCTACCGCTTCATCTGCTACTGCTGCTGTCTTAGATAGAAAAAAATCGCTTCTTACTGATGAGCTTCAATGAATTCAATCAGAATTCATTTGAATACAGTCCGTGCATACCAAAAAGGCGAGATTAAGTGGCCAAGCCGAAGAGTCGTTGAGTCGTCCTGGATGGGGAGCATAAGGAGTCCTTGGCGAAGTCGAGTGAAAGTGCGGAGGAGTCAACTCCTTTTGACTAATATGCTTGTGGTTGGGGCGGGGCACAACTGGGCGTACGAGCGAGGGCGACTTATCCTTACTTTCCAGGCCATCCTCCAGGCCGTTGACGCTGACGAATAAGTAATCAGCGCTAAGTTGGTAATTGAAAGCCTTGCCAGGACTTCCTTTTACTTTGCCTGTGCCTTGGTCAAGGGCTCTCGCCATCAGAGTAAGAAATGATACAAGACTTTTTACCAAACTGGACGGTATATGTCATGACCTTTCACAAAAAGGTCCTGCACCTGCCGACAGAGACACACATGCTGTTGTGTCAGTGGGTGGCGTGGGCAGGCATTAACAGCCCAAGGCCATCAGGGGCAACAGACAAGACAATAAGCAGATAAAAATAAGGACATTCGGGAGGACTTGCCTGCTGTGAAGAAATAAATACTCTTTAAAAATATTGATAAAGTATAAATAGGATAATAAATAAAGAGGCTTAAGTAAAGGTTTCTAAATCTTAAGCTGGAATATATTCAAGTATTTATCTTACTTTTATTATCTTATCTTATTTATCAATTAGTTAGACAACAAAAGCTACGAAACAAATCCAAAATACCTTAATTGGGAAAAGGAAATGTACGTATTCTGGAGAAACGTAGCAGACAAAATCCAGCCGACATTATCCGACATGAAGTTGCTAAAATTATGTACAAAGATTAAGAAAGTAAACCGTTATCTGCCAACGCCTTTGGGCCAAGAGGCGATGCGACAGCAGGTTGGGGGAATGGGTGGGTGGAATCCGTGTTGACAGTTTCCGCTGCAGGCGATTCCAAAACAGAGCACCACCAGGGGGAGCCGGAAGCGGAGCAGGGGCCAGAAACATAATGAAATTATGTATCTTCAGGATACTTCGTATGTGCCAGATGAGCTCGGCTTTATGTGTATGTGAGTTGTTCTCTGTTTTATGCGTGTACGCGGAAATGAATCTTAAAATATCCTACAATAATAAAATAAACGAACAAACAAATGCGGGATGTAAAAGTGGAAGAGGGCATAAATGGAATGGAAAAGATTAAAATAAAGCATGCCACATAAAAAATGGCTCATAAAATATGCACTCCGACATGTCAACAATTTTTTAAATGAAAATATCAGACTCCAACAAAAAATAGAGTAGATGTTTGTGGGTAAAATATGTATCTGTGACAGGCAAATACTATAAAACCAAACGATAATTAAATCAAATAATATGTAAACAATGTTTTTAGTATTTATTTTTAATGCACAATATTAATAAGGTTAGCAACCCCTTGGAACTGATTGAAAATCACAGCAACTAACCAACTATGTAGCTTAAACGTGACTCTGAAACTTCAGTTTCCAATCCAGCTTACCAGATATCTGCATGTTTTGGGGGCGAACGGAATCAGTTACCTAATATCCGATTGCGATTTGGAGCCTTGGGGGAGTTACTTCCGTCTTGCCCCGTCTGATTCCGGTTCTAATTGTTTTGGTCTAGTGGTAATCCTCCTTTGTCTGTGCAAATTACCTGAATCGTGCCAAAACTTCAGCCCCTCAAATGGCCAAATAATTATTCGAGCAAAGCAACGCAGCCCGAATAACCCCATGGGATTGGAGAGCATTGAAGAAAAATTAAGCAAATATCACGTCGTTCACATTTGAACTTCAGACATTCGAAATCAAAGACAAGCCGAGTTGCTCGCTCGATACAATTGAAACTTGGCCACAAGTTGTACAAACGTTTTTGGGGGGTTTGTTGCCAAAAATTTGCCCAGCTTCCGTGTGTATCCGAAATTGGGTCTCGATTTGATCCTGCTCCGGTTTTAATTACACATCGGGCTTATACCAGCGCCACAATGGAGATTAAATAGCCTGGGGAAAATTCAGTAACTTGGCTATGAAGGTGATTGTTAATTGAAGGCTACCACAAAATTGTTAACGAATAAGGACCAGGAACAGGAATTTAAGAAAATATTTATAAAAATATCTACAATGCACTTCTAAATATTACTCCTAGAAAGTTTAGCTTTTACAAAGCCGTCATTTACAAATTTAAGACATTTTAGTTATATTTTTTTTAACAAGAAGTGACTAAATACTTTTGAAAATTGCTTTTTTTTCTGTGCAGCAACAAACAAGCAAACAAGGAGTTGGTACGTTTGCAGCAAACAAGCGAATTCATTGCTAAATCATCGAGTACAGGCAACTCGTTTTAACTTTGTTTCAAACAAGAAGCGTTGAGGGGATTCCCCCAATTCCATGCATGTATAAAAAAAAGGGTGAAAGGTCGGTGGGTGTGTGTGTGTGAGTAAATTGTAGAGTTGGCGCAAACGAGTAAAGAAATCGCTCATGCAAAACTGATTGACTGTAACGAAGAAACTGTAAAAAGAAACACGAAACTTGTTTCAGTTGCTGTAGCTGCTCCTGCTCCTGCTGCTGCTGATTTTTAGACCCTGCCACGCCCCCCTGTGCAACAACCTCCCTTCCCAGCTGTCCATTATCTGTCGGCTTTTATTTATGTAGATACGTACTACGTACATACTAGCGCCCTCGCATATGCAACGTATTCATTTGCCCCCCGATTTTTCCAGTTCTCCTCATGTTGCTGATTTTTATTGAAACGAAAATATCGTTGGCTGCACGCTGCCCTTTATGCTCGTCAGTGTTCAGTTTTCCCCCCCACTCCAGGTTTTATTCCTTTTTTCGCTGAGAACTTTTTGTCGGTTGCGCACTTAATTGAAAGGAATTGTTAATTCACAAGACACCCCAGGTTCGGGTTCGGGTTCGAGCTCGAGCCAACTCCACCCATTTTGGCCACTCCTTTGGCTTTGTGCGTGATTGGTTGGGCTGGAAACGATGGCCTCTGTACTTTCGTTTCCCGCTTGATTTTTGCCCTCAAATTCAATTATTTTAATTTTTCTCTTTGCCGCGAAGCAGCACATGAGGGGGGCACGCACTTGCAAAAATAAATATGGAGGACACTTCTTTTCAAATAATTTTAAAACATTATTATTAACAATAATGCAAAAATATACCCAATAACATCAAACTTATGATCTTAATATTTACTTTATTGTTTTCTTCTATTATTATATGTTTTGTAAAGTGTCCTTTGAGCTGAAGATGGATGACATGTCTGTTTTCAGGCGTTTTGTTCGCCGGAGGACATCTGTCAGACAGTTGTCAGCTTTCCCCTCCCACTACCCACTTGGCTGTGCTTATTCGTGACACTTATTTGTCATTTTTAGCATATAATAGCATTGTGTGGATTATAAAAGGATTATAAACCGCCAGCCCCCCGCCCTAAACACTTTCTTGGGCACACCCCACCCTACTACGCCATAATAATTGCTCACGTTCTCACGCGCTCTCAACGCCCTCAACCCCTGTGGCTTTTAAAACCAATTTGGTAAGGCAGTCCGACCGCTAGCAACCGAGTCAACCAGGTCAAAAAGCTGCTCCAAGATGTGTGTAATTAGACGTGACTTTTCCTCGAGTTCTTCTTCTCCCCCATTGTGGAGATCGGAGAACGCCCAAAAGCGCCGGGCGGGATGGCGTCGACGGAGCTGGAGCCTGGGGGCAAATCGGGCCTTAAAGCCCTCTTAACGCTGTTGTTATTTAGAGCTTAATTGTGCTAGGACACGGCCTGGGGCAAGCTCGCAAGTCCCGGATTGGGGTTAAAGGGCCTCGAGAACATTTGGAGATGGGTTCCTTGTGAACTGCCCTTAAAGTTCAAGATGGATTAAAGTCCGCTTGGATGGGTAATTCATTGGCGCCCGCTCGTACCCCCAACCCACAGACACCGCAATTAGCCAGGCAGGACCCCGATATCGACACATTAGCATTAAGGAGCGCCAGAAACGAGACGACGCTCGCATCGGGCATAATCAGATTATCAGCCACCGCCTCAGACGCTGCGCGAAAAAGAGCTAATTTGTGCACGGAAATCACGCCCAGGAGCACGGATTTCCCACCGTGCCAGCCGGGCTCCGTACGTACATATCCGTGTCCGTGTCACCTTCAGCCCTCGGCCCGCCTTTGGCCTTTGTGCAAATTGAAAATATGCCAAATAATTACACATTTTTATGTGAATTTTTCAATTTATATGCCGTCAAATAAACGCTGCGTGCACATCACAGCATTGACATCCGGTTGGGTGGAGCCCAGCCACCCCTCCCCTCTAAATCCTTATTCCTCACCATCCGCGCCATACTCCTCCTAATGTCTCATCCTGGGAGTTTACTTTTCAAAAACGGTCGACCTTGAAAAGCTTTAACTGGGAGACAAAACACATGACTCCGAAAAGCTTTCATAGATGGCGGACCTATGTATGTAGAGTGTAGAAGTTTTGCCGAAAATCTTATGCCTAATGATACAGTGAACAACAAAATTGTGGTCCAGATATATAAAGAATCGATTCACAAATCGTTTAAAATATCCAGCTTGAGTATAGAATGTTCATTGGCAGAGATATGGGCTTCGCAGAGTGCCATAGAGAGCTCCCATGCATTTTCAACATTTTTGAAGGGGTCCCCCAGGAAATTTGACAAAAAATCGAAAAAAATATTTTGCCATCATGTTTTGAGGCAGATCGATGGGGAATTGATCCACAAATCGTTTAAAACATCCCGCTTGGGAATCGGATGAAAATTGGCAAAGATATGGGCTTCGCAGGGTGTCATAATAAGCTCCCATGCATTTTCAACATTTTTGAAGGGGACCCCCAGGAAATTTGACAAGAAATCTAAACAATATATTTTTCTCATGTTTTGATGCAGATCGATGGGGAATCGATCCACAAATCGTTTAAAATATCCCGCTTGAGAATCGGATGAATATTGGCAGAGATGTGGGCTTCGCAGGGTGTCCATAGAGATCTTAAAATATCCCGCTGCAGAATCGGATGAATAAAATATAAAATATCGATAAAATTATCGATCAATCGATAAAATATGTTGAAATGGCTGAAAGTTTAAAAGTGATCCCGCCCAGAAAAACATTCAGTTCAATTTATATTGTTATTTAATAAGTTTACAAGTGTCTAAGTGTCTGCTTTGCATGTAACAGCATGCACACAACACAACTTACAAAGTTCAGTGTTAATATAATCTCTAGGCGAAAAATCGAGCCCAGCGATCAGTGCTTGGCTGATGGCTACTATTAGTCATAAAATATATAAGCTGGCAAATGCAGTATTATACATTTTCAATGTACAGAAGATGATAGAATAGAATAGAGAATGAATAGAGGAAGTAACACAAACGAAAAAAGAAAATAAAAAAAATAAGATGAGTGAGGAGAAAGGTGCAGTACAATGCGAGAGATGCGGTGAATGTCAAGAGTGCTCTTTAATTCAAGCGCTGAGTGACCGGCAGCTTCTTGCGTCGTCTACGCAATTGCTGGCTACGATCCCAGTACTCATAGTAGCGTTCCTGTTTTAACCACTCCTGGTATTTATACCACCACTCCTCCCACTTGATATAATCCTAAAAACAAAGAAGATACATTATTATTTTTCGAAACTAATACAATGATTTGGATGAATTACCTTAAGGTCCAAGTCTCTCAGATAACCACGATTTTTGTAGTAGTCATAACGGACGCGAACATCGTCCCACGACAGCATACCCGTCGGTGCTGTGGTGGCCAACTCCTCCGGAAAATGCCCGACCGGTGCCGGCGAATACGAGTATCGGCGCGGTGGCGACTCCAGACCCTCTTCGATCATCACCTTCAGTGCCCCACCGGTGGAGTCTTTGGTGATGCGCATGTTTTCCATATTGCTCCGGTCGATGCTCCACTGCGCCATTTTGCCGAAACGCTCCGAAAGCGTCAAACGCGTCGTAGCCGAAAAAGTCGGCAGCGAACCGACTTCATCGCTATCTGATCCACCCGAGTCATCCGAGTCCGAGGAGGAGTTAGCCACGTTACCTCCGCTAGCACTTGCCGAGCCGCTCGGATGCTTTTTCCGTTTCTCACCTTCAATTTTGATGCGGGGTCTCACCTAAGAATGGAGGAATATTTTTTAATGGAAATCCATCTCAGAGAATCTCACTACCACCCACCTCCTTTTCTTTCTTCTTTTTCTTGGCTTGAGTTGATGGCGCACCCGCTGGCGCTGCTGCTGGCTCCGGTGGCTCTGGCGGCCGGTGCTTCAATCGCGGATCCTCCGGCGGCGGAGAGTGACGCGCTATGCGTCCAATCTTTGGGTGCATATCCGACGAGGAATCGCGCTCGTGCCGCATCTTAGCTTGGCGGTACTTTTCCATGGCGGATACCGAACTGCTTCCTCCGCGCACGGGCGGTGGCGTGGTAGGGCGACCATGGATGCGGCCATGTGACTCCGGCGGTGGGGGCGGCGGCGCCCCCTGTCGATAGTGGCCACGTGGCTTGGGAGGCGGCGAACGAGGACCGCGAGATCTAAATTCATGAAATGGGTTACAAAAATCCAAAATATCTTGGCATTGGTGTGCTTACCGAGACCTATGGCGATGGCTGGGAGAGCACAAGGAGCAGGAATCATCGGAACTGCTGCTCATGGAGCTGTTTGAACGCGAACGCATCGAATGCTGTGGAAGGATTAGAGATTAATATGGGAACCAACAATTAAGTGCTCTACTTACCCTTGGCGGTGGCGAGGGTGGACGTTTGGAACGCGGCAGAATGTGGGTAACGCCTCCACGCTTATCCATTCCCGACGACGAGGACGAGGGTGGCGGCAAGGGCGGCGATCGACGCCGGCTTAGCGGAGATCGCGACGCGGTTGGCTTTCGGCGCAAGGACGACGTGGAACAGCTGCTCGGTTCCGGTGGCGAGCGTGGCCTTCCGTGGCCATTACCGGGACGACGCATCATAGTATCGTGGCTGTTGGGCGAACGCGGCATCGGTGGGGATCGTGGACCGCCGCGACGCTCCATGCCGTGCATGGGCATCGGTGGTGATCTCCTGCGCGATGGCGGGGACAGCGGCGGTGATTTCCGTAAACGAGAACGGCTACGCGAGTGGGGGGACCGGGAGCGGCCGTAGCGCGGCGGCGGGTGACCAGGCGGCGGTCCGCTGGGTGGGTAACGACTGTAGGGCGGCGCTCCATCCCGACCCTCACGTCCGTCGCGACCATCACGGCCGTCGCGTCCCTCCCGGGGGACCACCTCACGATCACTTTCGCCAGAGCTGCTTTCGCCCTGGATGTACATCTTCTTGTATCCGGTGTGGCGCCAGCGGTTGGGGTCCTTCTCCTCGGCCTCGATCAGCTTTTTGTCCCAATAGTCGTTCGTTGTGTTGGCACGAGCCTTTTTCATAACGTTGTCAATCTCGCGTCGCTTGCCGGCTGGTAATGATGGATCTGCAAGTGTGAGAGGGAAAAGGTCAGCTTCGGTTTCGACTTGGAATCGGGATTCGGGATGTATTGGTCGTTGCTTAGTCGCTGGGCAGCTGATCCGCCTTCCTGGGAATCCCTTCGTATTTATTATTCTTTTATGACAGGGTCCGCCGGCTTCTTCGCTAATCCCAGCGATGGTTCCTATGGTTCTAGGCTAGAGTTGCGTTGAATGGTGAATTTTCAGGTACCTGTTATGCGGGCAGCTGTCGGCTGCCTGTCCATGTGCAGTTTGGGATTCAGTTCGGCGCGCCTGCGCGACGCCATCGCGAGCGGGATAGCGGGATCGGGAACGGGATGGCAACAATCGCGCACGTATATTGCCCAGGCGGTAGGCGGTATGCGATATGCGGTATGTGGTGGCTATATATGCTCTATATTTTTTTGTATATAGCTCTTGTATTTACTCGTATTCGTTCTTAGGCGAAAAACGCGACAACACACTTTACCATTTTCAAAAACATACACAACAAGCTGCAAATATATTACAATTTATATATAGAAACATGAAAGACAGGCATTAGAAATCTCAAACAACAACAAAAACTACAACATCAACAATATCAAAGGTAGAGTAGAGGCCAAGTAGTAGAGAGAGTTTTTCGGGGGCGGATTAGAGGACGCGGGGCAGCTTCAAGAGGCTCGATGGGCTCGGTGCGGTCGGTACGCATTGTGGGCCTGAAAACGATGGAGAAGTAAACCGGGCGCGATCCGGCTGCCAGTGGACGCGAGCGAGGCGGAGGCGGTAGCGGTGGCGATGGCGGAGACGGGGCGATCGCGGGTGAGGGGAATATGCGTTCAACCCATTACGCGGCGTTCGGATATCCAGATCCAAGAACAAGTCCGGAGGAGACCAACCGGCTTCCACGATAGAAAAAAATTTGCATTTTCATTTTCCTTTTTTTTTCAGCTTCACACTCTCACACACACACACATACACACCAATACACATGCCCCGCAGTTGCTGTGTCGACGCGAGAGAAAGAGATAGAGAAACAGGGCGATATTGGGGCAGACTCCCGACGACGTCGGCTCTTGAAAACGCGCATTTAAGCCTTGGCGATTGTGTAGAACGTTGAAAACAAGCACTTAACTAAATTGCTTACATTTGACAACGGTTGCGTGCACGCTACTCGAGATTCTTAGATTTCTGAGTTTAAATTTCAAATGGAAAACACGGCGTTAAATTTTTCACAGCAATGGCCGTCGTAAATAGGACCGTGGATGGCCTCTTCAAGAAATCCAGAGCTATGCCTGGTCACACTGTGTTGTAACCCATCCGATATATCGGATTTAAAAATAAAATATATTTAACTTTATTGATTAAGAGAGTCTATAATTTAAGCACTTTATAAAAAAACTTTTGTTATATTATAAATATAGACTTTTAATTACAAAAAACTTTAACAAGAATGTTTTTATTTCAATAGTATATGATTAGTGGTTTCAGTTTTCCCCACTGATGGCGCTGCGAATCATTCCAGCTGACAACTCCCACCACTAACGCACTTTAGCACCAACCGGAAGACGAGAAATTATTGAAAAATTGTTATAATTACTATTCTAGAATCAAGTAAACCCTAATAAGATGCAGCGCGATGAAAAACTCTTTGAAATGACGCTGGATGCCGTCCTCCAGCGTCTAAACGACCTGAAATTGGCTGTGCTCTCAATGATCCAGAAGCTCGAGATGGAGTACGAAACCATCAACTGGCCCACTTTCCTGGACAACTTTGCTATTATTTCGAGCCACCTCACCGGCTTAGCGAAGATCCTCGCCAAGGAACAGTGCCCTCCTTTAAGAAACCGAACCGTATTGCCCCTTATGGTGTCTATGGACCGGGACGACACGCTCATCAATATTACCGAGGGCCGGGTTCCTGTCTTTTCGCACGACATTGTGCCAGATTATCTGAGAACTCGTCCGGACCCGATTACCGAACAGAAGATGCAGCAGAACGAGCAAAAGGCCGCCAACCTTACCAACGACGCCGCCATGAAGCAGGTCACCCAATACAACAAGGTGGTTTCTCACGTCCTGGACATGGTTAGCAAGGCACGCGAAGAGTGGGAGATAGAGAGCTCCTCGCGAACGGGTATCCAGCAGACAAGCAGCATGGCGGACACCCAGCTCCTCGTCGCCGCCGTCGGCATGGGCAAGGGCCTGAAGCTGACCAACTACGGACCCGGTATGATGGTCCCGCCCTCGATCCGTGCTCCGTCGCCCATGGGCGGGCCAGGCATGAGCCCCGGAAACGTGCAACAGCAGCAGTTGGGAAAGGCCCCGTCGGCCGTGAAGACCAACATCAAGTCGGCCAATCAAGTGCACCCGTTTTCTCGATAGCACAGTCCATAACTTACTGTTTATTGTTGCGCTTTGCAGTGCAGGGTAATCGTTCCATCTAGCGGAATGTATCGTCATAATAATTTATATGTACTTAGAACTAAGGCTTAAAATAGGCAAACATAAACATGAACAAAATGAACTCGTTTCGTCTTTGAATTCCAATTCAGACTTCCTTCGTTTCTGGCTGGGCGTGCTTCTCGTTTATGAGAATCTCGTGCAGCTTAATATCCTGCGGTGTGGAGGTGTCTACAAGTTCCAGGGAAAGGGAACGTGACCCGTCCTTCTGCTTGTGCGAGCCCCGCACAATTCCAATAAACTTCTGTCCAAGCGTCAGCTTGCGGAAGCGCACACAGTTGTCCTGGCTCCACACAACATCTTCCAGTTTGATGCCTGAAGGAAAGAGATTCCTAGTTTCAAACAGGATCCATGCCAAAAACTGAAGTAGTTACCATATAGTTGAGCAGCCAGCCCCATCTTGGGCAGTAGTCTTAGCTCCGCCGGGAGGGTCTTTAGTTGCTCACAGGCCACAACACCATCATCCCCGACATCCACGAACCGGACATGGATGATTTCATCGTAAATCTTTCGAATATTTACTCTGTAGGATGTTTGTGAGGATATTATAGCAAAAATGTAGGTGGTTGTGAGAATCCTTACCGATGGTAGACGCCACCGGTGTCCGGGGCAGCATAGGCCTCGCCGATGGCCAGTTGCGAGGGCTCCACCCCCTTGGCCATGGTTCCTTGGCAGTGTGCCTGCAGCTCCTTCATCAAACACTGCAGTTGATTGTAGCATTTGTAAGGTTGAACCTACGGTGGTGGTAAGTGGGTGGGTTTGAATTACTCCAAAGATGTAATCAAAGTCAGGTTATTCAGAAGACTCACCGCAAAATGGCCAGGATTAATGGAGAGCGAGACGCGCACTTCAAAGAACGCCCCAATAGCTGGGATTGCCTCGTAATCTTTGAGCAGGCCAGTCGAAAAGGTGGTGGCAGCCCCGCGGGTGGATGCTCTTTGTGGCGTCACTGGAGGAGTAATGGCAAGCAGGTCGCTGCCGCTACTCTGGCTAGACACCACGGAGCTCAAACTGTTGCGTCTCGGGAGAAGATCGTCGTAGTTTTCTGGTCGCGTGGAGCTGGGGATGGGGGGATTGCGGGATCGGGTGGAGGGTCGGATGTTTGGGGGGGGCGGGGCAGGTTTTAAGGCATCAAAAACTCGCATTCTTTCGGACTTATCGTAGTTGAATGATAACCCATGAGTATATTTTAGTAATATATACAGAGATGTGAATGACTTAAGGATAAGCTTACAGTAGGATTGTTTTCATATTTTGTTGAGTATTTTGTTAGCGTCGATTGGTAATATGGTATAGCGATAGCCTAGCCTAGCAAGTCAATTCCAGTTTTCGAAAGCACTAATAGAGACTTAGCATAAACCAAAGGGATCGTATCAGATGGCGGTAGGTTAGGATCTTGATAGGTATGCGTGTAAGTGACATAAACCATAATGGCATACATATATATGTATAATGAGTCGATGAAGCAGTACATCCCAGCGCAGCACACTCACCTCTGCATCTCGAACTCCAGCCGAAGGCCAATGTTCACGCACATGTACATCGATTCCGGATCGTTTCCACGAATGAACAAGTTCACCAGGGGTTTGGCACCATCCTTCACCACGACTTTGAGCTAAAAATGAAACCCCATTAGTGGATACTCTTCGAAAAGTGGCGACACCTACCAGAGCTTCGCAGCGGGGCGGCAACAGTCCACGAAGACGTGGAAGCAACTGACCCGACATATCGGGGACATCGTGGAGTCCAACCAGCAGCGCTTGCGGCGGATAAGTAGCAAGTGCGCGGTTGTTCGCCTCCAGGCGATAGATGTTGGAGATGTGCGTCTTTCGCTGCCGGCCGTCGTCCACGTAGAAGACGTCGAAGGTCTCCTCCTCCGGATTCGTGGGCTTGGACACAAGTCGCCCGCGGTACCACTGCTTGGATCCATCCCCGGACTCGTCGCACACGAAGACGTGGCGATCGTGCAGGAGATCCGAGAAGCGCACCCTGTCCTTCTCGCCCAGATCGGCCACTGTGGTGGCAATGCTGCGCTCCACAAACTTGAGGTCGTCGTTGCGGAGCAAGACCATCAAGTCTCCGTCATCGGTAATGTGCGACACAAGGACCGGCGAGGTCTTCACCACCATTTTTTCGTCGTTCAGAGAAGGGGCCGGGGTGCTCTTGGTTATCCTAGCAGCCACCAGATCGTTCAGATGAATGTCCTCCGCGGTTGAGGTGTCATACAGCGTGGCCACCAGGCATGCCTTGCGCTTGTTCTTCTCGACCAGCCCCTGGGCAGCACCGCCCAACTCCTTGAACTGCTTCGGCGTGGTCAGAACCCGAGCCACAACCGTCTGGCCATCCAGTTCTGCCATCAGCACCGGCAGGGCGTGGGGATGGTCCTCGAACTTGTCCAGCGCATACATGCTAAGGCAAATGGCTTGGGCCGGCAGCACCAAGAACTGAGGTGGACACTTGTACAGATCGTTGAACTGGAACTGAGCCATGTCACCAAAGTCCACAAAGTGGCAGCGACAGGAGCGCTGCTCTCTGTCCACGGAGAGGACTCGGACGCGATTCCATCCTTCGCGGATCTCTACCAGGTAAAGGTCCCCTTCGGCTGGGGTTTCTACTTGCTGTCTGAAGAGCGGCACAGCCATATGCCGGCCCATGTGGGTGGTAAGTTCGTCAAAGCTGGCGATGTCATCGATGAGACGGGCCCACACCTGCTTGGTGGAATCGCAATGGCTGATGTACATGTTCCAGTCATTGGATCCACTGTCATTCGGTTGCCAAGGCAGCTCCAGCTCTGGCATAACGGTTGGCGGAGTGATGCGAACCGGCTCTGGGGAACCAGGCGCGTTGGCAAATATTATAGTCCGGGGATTTATGCCGTGCTCCACACGAATCTTCTTCGACTCGACGACGAGGTCATACCAGTGGCTAGGCAGGTGGCGGCGGAAGGTCTCGCTATACCACACCTCCATCTTGTGACCCAGGATACCGTGCGGGAACTTCTGCAACTCCTCGTACAGAGAGTCTATGAAATCTTCGTCGGTGATGGTGCAGGCTGCCAACTTCTTGCGCACCTCGGCGTGCTTGATGCGGTCGATGGCGACGAGGGCGGTGCGCTTGCGTGCCTCCATCTCAGTGGCAAACGTCTCCGGATAGGTGCTGTATACCTCGCCCTGGATCCGCACCGAGCAGTGTAGCTTCGAAGCCGACGGCGTTTTAAAGTAATTGTAGACGGGTTCATCGAACTGGTTGGCCAGGCAATACTGTTTCAACATCGCGACATGATCCGAATCGGTGTCCGGCGAGAAGGCCGTTATCGATATTTGCTTCTCTGGTCTGCTGTCCTTGGGCGGCTGAGTGGCCTGCACCCGGAGAACATCCACTTGGGGCGCAGCCGCCGCTTGAGTTACCTTGGCGCTCTCCGGTGATATGGGTGGTGTGATCGGCATGGACTTGGGACTGGGTATCGATTCTTCAGTGGGTGGCTTCTGCTTGAGTCTGTGATTAACAGACATCCCAGAACGCCCCTGTCCGGGATAAGGTATGCGGGGATGCATCGGTCGCTTATAAGAAGTGGACATTGCCGTTGTGGGATTATTGTTGCGCAGCGGAGCACTGTTGCCCAGGATGGCACGCAGCGGGGGCTTACTTTGCCCATTGCTTTGAGCGTGGCTCTGACCATTCTTGCCATTGGGAATGCTTATCAGGATCTTCTCCTGGTCTACCTTGGCCGATCGCATGGTTTTCGGATCCTCAATCTGATATTTGATAACGTCTATCTGTATATCAAGATCCTTAGAATCAGGTTTCCTCCTTTCCGGTGCGTGGCGCTCCTTTTCCCTTTGTTCCTGTTTGTGGCGCTCCTTTTCCCTTTGCTCCTGGTCTTGGCGATCTTTTTCCCTTCGTTCCTGTTCTTGGCGATCCTTTTCCTTTCGCACCTTTTCCCTTCTCTCCTGGTCTTGGCGCTGCTTTTCCCAACGCTCTTGGTCTTTGCGCTCCTGGTCTTGGCGACTCTTTTCAATTATCTTCTGGTATTGGCGCTCCAATTCCCAACGCTCCTGGTCTTGGCGATCCCTTTCGCGACGCTCCTTTTCCCTACGCTCCTTTTCCCTAAGCTCCTGGTCTTGGCGTTCCTTTTCCCTCCTCTCCAGCTCTCTTAGTTCCTTTTCCTTCAGCTCTCTATCCTTCAGTTGCTTTTCCCGTTCCAACTTCTCCTGTTCCAGCTTTTCTTTCTCGCGTCGCTCTTGCTCCTGGCGCTCTTTCCGCAGTTTCTCCAAAACTGAAGCTTGCTCCCGGAGTTTGATCTCGTGCTGCTCCCTATACGCTTGCAACTTCTTGTCGAAACGTGCCTGTAGCTGAGCTTCGATCCTTGCCTGCAGATCTGTTTCTACTTTTTTCTGAATCTCCTGCAACAGACTGTCTTCGATCCTTGGCTGCAGAACTGTTTCTATTTTTTTCTGAATCTCCTGCAACAGACTGTTGGGAAGCTGCTGAAGACTGCGCTCCTGCGCAGCTGGAGGTTTTTGTGGGCTGTTGACCGCCCTGAGGGGAGCCTGGCGATCTTGTTGAATCTGGCGATCTCGATCTTCAGCCTGTGCAGGCGGAGGGCGACTCACAATCGGAGCTAGGTTCGATGGAGGACGATTCACAGTTGGCTGATATACGGGTAGAGGGAAATCCACTAGTGGAGGCCGTGCGGGCTGAGGGCGATTCAACAGCGGATGGTGAACGGGAGAAGGACGATTCACAATCGATGGCAGAGTCCTTTGGTAGTTCGAAGTCGGGCCTCTGTTGTGGAAGTTGGGCCTTGGTTTCGCGACTTGGCAAGTCGGTTTAGATATCTGCTTGGACTTGCTCTTTTTTTGGCCTCTGACCATAGACTCAATGTGTGCCGTTTTCGCGCTGTACTTGGCGCTGATGAATATCTAAATGGAAAACAGAACAGAGAGTTATTTCAGAAATTCCAATTCAAGTGGATACAATTCCGCCAAGGTTGTGTTAGTGTCTCGGAAGCGAAAGCCGATGCGCTTGGTCAGTTTTCGTCTTTGGGTAACCCGATCTGCCCTATAAAGCTGCTGAGACAGCTATTCTACACCCGAGAGCCCCTCAAATAAACTCGAGCTCGTTGTAATTGTTTAGAAATTCCTAGCCGAGCGACTTTCAGTTGAATTTTTTGTTTATGCTCCCAGTTGAATGATTCACTGAATGCGGGCTGGTTTGTTTAGGGGGTCAGAGTTCTAATTGGGCAACCAGGCCTGGATATGGGCAAGGCACTTAATACCAAGACGTGATAATAGTACAGAGAGAGCTGCATATATTTTATTGCAATTGCCAGACGTGAGATTATAGTATCAGCAAGGCTTTCATTCACTCGCTTCGTGTTCCCATTTCCACCCAGTTGCATCTCTTGGCTGCTTGATTATTGATCCGGCGAATGCATATTGGCAAGAGCTCACGAGCCCGAGGACCGGAAGCGACCGCCCACAGGCCCACTTTCGCCCACAGGTGAGCGAATGCCAGGTGCGGAAAACCAAAATGGAAACAAGAATAATTCGCAAAAAGTTCAAGAGTAATGCAAACGGATAGACAATCGCACGATGGCCAACGTTCGTTCACTTTCACCATGCAATCGCACACACAGGCGAGCCACACAGAAGCTCCGCGAAATAAAAGTTTAAATTGCTGGCACTGGCACTGGCACTTTTGTTTATAGCTGCATTTATAAAAGCGCTTCATCTGCAAAAGCAAAGCTCAGGGAAAGCCACACATCCCCTTTTCGCGAGTAAATGGGCGCGATTAAATAAACTAAACTAGACTAAGTAAGTGGCCATTTGTTTACACTTTTGACGTCGAAGACGAAGAAGCGTTGACACGTTGCCCCTTGGATAGTAACCTTTGGCGAGGTGAGGCGAGCGAGAGAAGAGAAGAGACGAGGGAAGCAGCAGCAGCAGCGGCTTACCGCATGCGTTCAGCCAGCGAATCGAACTAAAAGCAGCCGTATCACCCGCCACTCACAAAAAGCTCGCTTGTGTACGTCGGCGGTGGCAGCTTGGCCATAATGCAGCCAAATAAAGTTTGAAATACAAAAGTAGTTTAAACTCTAAACTGAAACAGACTAGCCTAAACCTAATTCAATAGATTATACAGATGTTAAAGAATCTAAAGCAGTTATAGAACAAGTATACATAAGGGTAGTGACATAATTGAAACACCCTAGCTGCTTTCAGCATTATTGTTCAGCACTGATGCGAGCAGACCACGATAACGTTGTATTCGAGAGCGCAAGCTTAGGTGTGGGAGCTGCCAAAGCGGGTGGGAGAGCGTCAAAAGTGGGTGGAAGTCGGCGCAGAGGCGGGTTAACTTGCAGTAATTCGTAAAGAATTTTTGCCACAATTAAGAAACGACCATGAAATAGAAATGGGAGATGTCAGCTTGATAATTCAATATATTGCACTGCTTACTTCATTTCCGCTTTTGGTAAAGTTGAACTCATTGGTGTCCCTGAGCATGTCCTGTACGGTTGGATAGCCCAGTCGGCGATATGGCATTGGTTCCCCCTCGATGCCGGCATAGTCCCTTATGATAGATTGCAAGCCAACCGGCGGCTTTGCGGACGTGATAAGGGCCCGAACCACGCAGGCCACATTGGCTAGGATCTCCTCCTTTTCCCTCGAGGACATTTCGACAGGTTAATGTGAAAATCTGCAAAAGAGAAAATATCGGGAGGAGAGAGGAAAGGCCATTAAGCATGATTCAAGTGGTGAGGAATGCGTGTGCCCGCCGTCATCGCAACAATTGAATTTTTGGCAAGCGAGTGGCGTGCGTGCAAAAAACGAAATTAGCAACCAAGCGGCCCAGTGCAGATAACGGAAAATGGACGCAGCAACAAACGCGTGCGCGTAAGAGCTTGTCGTCCAAGACGACGACAGCAGTGGCGCACCAGCAGGAGCCTCTTTATAAAAAAAAACTTGTTCGGTGCACGCCGTTCCAGTCCCGTTATTTTCAGGAGACGCTTACAATTTTTTTCTCGTTGCATTACAAGCCCATGCTTAGAACTAAATACTTACCAACCAATATCAAAGAAAAATATTAATTCTATGGATGATATGCACTAAATTCTGCATAAATAGATGACGCTTAGATTACGCACGTGTGCGTGCTTTCCCTTATTGCCAATAATTCGCTCTGTTTATATATTTAAAGATACTTTGTACTTATTAAACGAACACGGAAACTAAGATGAAATAAGAACGAAGAAAAAACGCGTTAAAAGCGAAGATCGGAAAATTGAAAACTTTTTGACAGCTTCAAAGCAATGGCGCCCTAGAGTTGCCGAAATAAATATAGACGTACCAGGTGGCACCACCGGAAAACGAAAGTGGCCAGCCTAAATTATGTATAAATATAAATTAAATTTAAAAATAAATTTAAAAATTCGCACTTAACAGATATTCTAAGGCATTTGAATTTTAGTTAAGCCTAGTTCAACTTTGTGGTTATATTTTTTTTAAATATTGTTCTGTATCAAAACTTTATTCCTAAACACAAATTATTTTAAATACAAATTAAAATATACAACTTAAAAAAAGGCTAGAAATAGACATACTCAGTGCTATCAAACTTATTGACAAAAATATCGATAGTACTTGAAACCGATTAATTCTAAATATGGAAAGAACGTTTCTTTGGTATTTTTTTTAAAGAAACCGCCAAGTTTGAATTTGTTTTTTGAAAAATATATAATTTAATTTGAACAAACAGTGTTAAGATTTATAAAAAATTCCATTCATAGTTTTCCAGATACTGCTGTTTATACAATCTATGTTTTTTCTTCTTTCTTCTTCGATTATTTTTTCTGTGTTTTGTCGGTTCCCACTCGTTTCGCAAAGGACCCTGCATTTCCGTTTGGGACAAAACAGGGGAGCCCCAAGTATCAGGGGCTGGCAGGACAGATTCTTCACTGGGTTCCGCGGGTACCACTGGTTTTACAATCACACTCAGGGCTTGCACATTGATGCGATGTGGGTCTTGGGGTAGCTGTTTCACATCTGGCACCTCCGACTCCATTGGCATGTGTACAACACTAAATTCCAGTGGATTTGCCTTTTCTACTGGTTCATCTTCGTCCAGCTCCTCCAGAAAATCCTGAGGCTGTTGATTGGGTAAGGGCTCCAGATGAACGGCTTCCGGCGGTGCAGCTTCTGCCCTTGCCCTCTTGGGCTTCCATGGTCGCCTCGCCCGCATCAGGTTCAGATGCTCGTCCCACACCCGTTCCTCCAGTTTAAGCTCTTCCTCCCTGGCTATGGCCAAAGCGGTAGGACTTTCTCCTTTGCTAATGGGTCGTATTCCGAAGGAGAATGCTGGGAATTCTCTAGCTGGGCTAGATTGACCGATGGTCGATGGGGGCTTCCGGGGAGCTTCCATTTTCTCGCCATATTTAGTGGACATCACGCGTCCTCTATGCTTGCTGTCGAACTTTGGCTTAGGATTCATTCTTGGGCAAGTTTCGGATGCCAGACTGAGAACCTCCATCTCCATATAGTTGAGATTCTTCAGGACAGCGAGTGCGTGCTGTTTCGATTCCAGTATCGTCTCCAAGATCATCTTTGCTGTGGATGCGTTTAGTATCTTGGACTTTTTGCCACATTCGTCCTTGGGAATGGGCTTTGGCAAAGGCGATGGTTGATACGGCGGATGAGGCGACGGTTGAGGCAACGGAGGTGGTCTTAAGGTCGTAGATGTCGTTGGGTCAGGCATGCAGAAGGTGGAAAAAGGTATTCGAGTAGTTTTTGTGGTGGTCGTTTGGCGGGTGGTAGCCCTTGTCGTAGTCGTAGGCCGCGTTCGGATGGTGGGGAAAGTTTGGGGCCTCTGGGTGCAAAGAAGGTTTTTGGTTGGCAGCCGCTTGATTTGCTGGTCGCCATTATTGCTGACCACCTTGGCCAGGAGATTGGCCTTGGCCATCGAGGGCCTGGCCTGCAGACTAGTGTCTTTGCCGTACTCCAGTATTCTCTCAATTTCCCGATCGGTGGAATCATACGGGCTTATCACCTCGCCGGAGCGCGCATTGTAACTATCGTGGGCTATGCTGGCAAACGGATCGTCCAGTTCCATCTCCCCGTGGTCACTTACATCGCTTCCATAGTGCGAGAAGTTATCCCTATACAACTGGGCAGGTGAGATTTTGGGACCTCCGTGAAAGGCATTCATCTGGACGCTGCCCTTCTCCCACTCGGGATGCATGATCCTCTCCGCCATCCGCTCCTTTTCACTCCGTCGTTCCATGTCGTCCAGCCTACGAAAGAGAGCCTCAGGATCCTCATGACTCGCCTTTGGCCTTAATGGCCTTTTTGGATCCTTTTGGTCTCTGATATACTGTTGGCTCCCTGCTTTGTTGTAGTGATTCCACTTCCAGGGATAGCTGTAATTCGGGTATCCTGTCGCTGGCCCAAGGCCCGCCAGGATCATCAATACCATCAGTAGGGGGAGTGCAATTGTGAAAGTGCTCCGAATCCAAATCCGCATTGACATTGTTCTCATCAGCACAACATCTTGCTGAATTTGTAGCCGAGTTCATTTTTGTGGAATTCTTTAATATAAAGAATTCTGTCATCCCAGTCGACATGTTTATCTAAGGATATTTCTACCTTGAAAATGTAACAAAGTTTCTGGATAAGAATTCATTGTCCACCGTGAAATTTATTGTCCCAGCAAAGACAAAGGACATAAACAAGGAAATTAAATGACAAACTTCTAAGGACATTGCAACAGCCATGCAGCAGTGGTAGTGGAAAGTGGCTGGAATTGGGATTGGAAGTCATGGGAATGCTGCTGACTCAGTGCTTGCGCCACAGTCGAGTTTTCCATGTTCAACTGTGCATAACATCCTCGCGAAATAACGGAAAAGGACCAGAAAATATCTTACAAAGAATATTTTAAAATATTTCTAAAAACTAAGAGTTCCCGTAACTCATACATTGTGAAGTGTCGCAGTCTATTTCTTAATAACTTGAGAGCTCTGAAGCCCCCAACCTTAAATGCCAGTCAAACGCAAAAGACATAAAAACTAATAGTGGTGTCCTGTCCTGACTATTGAGTTCGATCCCAATCCCTTCGAGATAGTGTGGCTTAGTGCTAGAAAGTGCGATGACTGTCCTCAATATGCACACTAAAATGATTATATTGATTTTATTTTTCTACAACGGATCCTACAATTGGAGTAAAAAGCTGTAAGGACCCCCTCCAGCTATAGTCTATCTTTCTCACTCCCTCCGGCAGGCGGCGTTTGATTTTCCGAGTGTGTGTGAGCCATCCCCACGCCTGTCCCAGTGAGTGCGAGTGAGCCAGTTAATAATAAAGGTAAGCCTATCCCCAGGGGACTATCCTTATGTTTGGACTATCCAAGTAGTTTCTTCCCAACTTCCCAACTATCGATTTTGTCATTCTGGCCACGACTGCAGTTTAGGCAAAAAAAAATAACAAGCCTGCGGTAATAAAAATAGCAGCCTCGTCAAGGGGGCCACGCTGGGGCGGGGAAAACAAAGAAATGGTCAATAAAAGTGCGCAAGAGCGAGGCATCTCCACCCACAGTGGTGGGGCGAAACAGTGGGTATACTATAAAGGGAAGAATTCTACAAAGGATTCTACAAAGAGACTTAGGCCAATCACCATAAAAATAAGAACAACTTTTTATACCCTTGCAGAGGGTATTATAATTTTGTCCAAAAGTGTGCAACGCAGTGAAGGAGACATCTCCGACCCTATAAAGTATATATATTCTTGATCAGGATCACCTCCTGAGTTGATATGAGCATGTCCGTCTGTCCGTCTGTCCGTCTGTCCGTCTGTCCGTCTGTCCGTCTGTCCGTCTGTCCGTCTGTCTGTTTCTACGCAAACTAGTCTCTCAGTTTTAAAGCTATCGTCTTGAAACTTTGCACACACCCTTCTTTCCTTTGCACGCAGTATATAAGTCGGAACGGCCGGGATCGGCCGACTATATCCTATAGCTGCCATATAACTGATTGATCGGAAATGGTATAACTTTGGTGTTTTTAGAGTTAGAGAGTTCAAATTTGACATGAGAGCTATTTTTGGCAAAATAATACGACATGCCAAATTTCATAAGGATCGGCCGACTATATCTTATAGCTGCCATATAACTGAACGATCGGAAATGACCCAACTTTCGTGTTTTTGAAGATAGAAAGCTGGAACTTGGTACAGATTATATTTTTGGCCAGTTAATCCGACCTACAAAATTTCATTAGGATCGGCCGACTATATCCTATAGCTGCCATATAACTGAACGATCGGAAATGACCCAACATTCGTGTTTTTGAAGATAGAAAGCTGGCACTTGGTACACATTCTATTTTTGGTCAGTCAATCCGATCTACCAAATTTCATAACGATCGGTTGACTATATCTTATAGCTGACATATAACTGAACGATCGGAAATGGTATTTGGTAGAAATATCAACTTTCGAATTTTTGAAGATAGAAGCTTGGGACTTTTTTTTAGATTCTTTATTGTAATTAATTGGTTTTATTATGATGTAATCATAAGGATCGGCCAACTATATCCGATGTTTGCGATATATATCCGGTTATAGCTGCAAGGGTATATAAACTTCGGCTCCGCCCGAAGTTAGCTTTGCTTTCTTGTTATTAATAAAGTTTAGAATAGAAAACCATTCTAGAATTCCAATCAACTTTGAAGGACCTTGACTGTTGTTGCATTTCCTTTGTGTTGTTCCAGATGGCTCTCTCTTGGCCATTTTTCCACCACTTTCCAGCGCCTGCGTCCTGACTTCCTGTTGTTTTGATAGTAAACGGGACAAAGGCCCGCTCTCACCCACACAACCAACAGGCGCCTCCAGTTGTTTACAAATACGCACGCCAGACAACCGACACGTGGCGCATCGCCGTTCCTGGAAAGCCTCGGGTCATGGGCATTCTGGGCAGTCTACCCTCTTGGCAGAGGGGTGGTGGAATGCCCCGAAGACCGAAACAGGAAAAAATAACCGGCCGGCTTGGCGGACCTGGCGGATGAGCAATATTTTCGAACACCAGTGACGTCAGTAAGACGCACAGAAGCGACATTGAACTAGTTAGCCCAGTTTGCATCAGCTTATTGCTCACATTTCACTGGTGACGTCAATGGAGAAAGCGTGACATTAACAATAAGCCAATAAAGCCGCCTTTTAACTTTGACCTACCAACTTTGGCTTCCGCTCCACTGAAATTCCATTACCAATTCCACTACCGGGCCTGACTCGTAAATCGTAGCCACAGCCCTGATCTCCTTTAGCGCAACGAATTCATTAGCTAATTAATAAAAAATATATTCATTTAATAGATTATGTGAAGCGTGACCTCCAAACCGATATTGCAGAGAAACTTTAATAATTTATTAACTTAAAAAATGAATAACAAAACGAGAATAGGTCTGCACTTGTCTTTATTTTTAGGAAAATATTAATCAGCTAATCAAGAGCTAATCAAACCTATACCTATACCTTAAATGCCAGTACCTTAACCATATACCATATACCCATATAAATACCTTAACCATGTACCTATATCTTAAATGCCAGTATATATACTATACTTTTCTTATCTAAAGGCTCTTAAAACTTCAAAAAAAAACATTAAACTTATCTTTATAGTTTATATGCCTCTTATAAGCTTATAATCCCAATAGCCATTCTCGAAAATTCCCGATTCTGAGAATATATTCTCATAAAAATGTTGTAGACTTTTGTTGTGGGGAAGAAAATACACACAGTTTCTAATTTCGAGTGACCTTGACTAGTGCAAAATACTTAATTCAAATTGCACCATCAAAAAGTGTTTGTCTACGGTATTACATCCCGGCGGCAAACACCGAAAGAATTTCATTACGGCGCAAAAATCTCGTACAAAGATCTCAACTATATGGCGGCTATATAAAACGGCCCATGTCTCTGGGTGTGGGTTGGGGGGCGGTTGCATGTTGCAAGGGGGGATTGGCAGGCGTGGCAGGCAAACTGGCCTGGTTGGCACACTTCGTAAACAACAACAGAGCTGAGGGTTTGGCATTGTTCTATGTGCCAGGGGGGGGGAGGCCTCGAATAAAAATGGGACCATGTGAGCTAGTGCCAATGGCGCCCTAGGCCTACTAGGAAAATGAGTACAGTGGGGACTCCGAGAGAAGAAACTAGGCCTGTAATTAGTTACTATTTGAATTTGGTCTGTTGGGAATTAATTTTAATATTTAACCTCCTTTATTAAAACCTTTTTTGAAGACTATCTCTTAGAATATCTTTTAAGACATCCTGTTGTTTACCCTTTTTGGATGATAATCCTGAACAGTTGGCGTCTTATAGACATTGAATGCCAATTATACGGTGACACTTATTGCACATCCTGGGTAGAATGAACATTATAATATATTGCTTATAATAATGCCACAAATACATATATATAAGATGGGTGGCGCCCTCTGACCTTGGTGCCATTTGAATATGGATGATGGCCTGGCTCCCTGGGGCGCATTACATGGACATCTTCCTTCCCTTCTGGGTGGATGGGTGGACAATGTAATATTCATGCCGGAATCCAAGAGGGGAGTGCATCGAATCGGATTCAATGCGGAGGGTGATTAGATAAGCCAAACTCCGACCCAGGGAAAATAACAAATTTTCCACTCGGCCAGTTATAAGACCCAAGGCATCACGTTGTCCTCATTGGGGAGGCCAGTAACTATATACTATATATTATATATGTAGAACGAAAATAGATCATAAACCGTTGACTGCGTTGACTCAGACCGATAAGATATAGCAACTACAATATAAAATCAAAGTAAGCAAACAAACATGGGATTTGCGTGTTGACTGGCTTTTAGCATGTTTATTACGTTTCGGTGATTTCACCCTATTACCAAATTAGAATATATTTTTGTTTATTTTGAAGGGTATTTTATTATTATTTTCAATACCCTCTCTTCTTATCGTTACAGAGGGCTCCTCCTATCCCAACAACATAAACAATAAGCCCACGAATTGTTTACGCGAACTGTCGGAGCAAAACAAAAAAAATTTCGTTATACTTTGATTCGGTTCCCCCCCCCCCCAGTCTCTTATCATTTAATTATTTTTGTGGAATTTTTCAAGCTTTTTTTGCGTCATAAATTGAAATAAAGCTAAATTCCGAACTGTGTCAGACCCAGTCGCAGTCACAGTCGCTGCCTCTGCTGACGCCGACGCAAACGCCGACTTCGACGCTGACATCCATCGCCCGATGAGGTACGATCGTCTATATAAGAGCTCGTCTATATTCATTCGCCAAGAGTCTTTCGTCGTTAACGGAACATTCGCCTGAAAAGCGGAAAATCGGAAAATCGAAAAAAGTCAGAAAAGTGCCCAAGTGCAAGTGCATACTATATTGTATTTCTCAGATACGAGTACGGGTATATATCGCAGCCGAGTGTTGAAAAAAAAATCATCTTCGATGTCGATTAATTCGCCAATATTGTTAAAAAACTCTGACCTGCATTGAACAGGCAAAAGCGCTTAATAACTAAAAAAAAAGACAAACATTAATAATAAAAAATAAAAAAAAATAACAAAAGACAGAGCAAACATAGCAAACAACAGGTTGTTTGCCTTTAGTTCGCGTTTCCCTTATTTTATTTCATTTCCTTCCGTTCGATTTTCCACGCACGCGCGTCGGGAAAAGCAATTATTTCGAAAAGAAAATAAAAAACGTCCAGCAGTTGAAGAACAACTGTTGCATCCACTGCTCCAAAGCGAAGAATCGGAAACCCCAACCCCCCACTTAACTGATATCCCCAAGTGGAAGGCCAGACCACAGAGCGGTTGCAAGTTTGTGTGAAAAAATAGAAAAACCAGATATCTTAACCAGGAAAAACAACAATTTTTGTTTATTGGGCTTAGGCCATTGTATGGGTAAGTAATGCCAGTGATATGTCGTGCGAAAATCAAATCATATTACCATCAATGTCAGGAGATATATAGCATTATATGGGATATAATCGAGAACAAAGAGAAGTCCGAATATTAAGATTTTTACCATCCAGGAACAAAGCAGATATTTCTGATAAAATATCATGTCTGACTGTTGGTAATATTGTTTTTCAAAGTAGTGTCAAAAAATAGATCAGAAAATCGCTGAGAACGCAGAGCTTTTTGTTTTGAAAACCCCCCATTTCCGGCAGCTCTGATTCACGTGCAATTAGCAACAATTGCGCGTGCCCCCGGGTTTATTCTCAATGTGGCACATTCCCTCTGTCTGTGCCCAGATAGAGCTCTGGTGCCCCCTTGAGCTCCATTGAGTCACTTTACAAACAAAGCAAATCGACGACGCAGAATGTCTAATCAAAAACAAACTCCCAGAGCCAAAAAAACATGATAACCCTCTGACGTGCATCCGGGCTTTATCTTCTAATTTGAATATCCATCTGCCTACCCTGGCACGTGGGCACTTTCCCCCATCATTGCACTTGAAAAGTGTTATATAGTACTCTAGGTTTATTGGCTAAAATTGATGAAAGCTGGCTATCGGCACTTGAATCCGGCACATTTTTTAAGTCCGTCCCCGCCCGTTTCCTGTCGCCGCCCCCTGATAACAATGTACTTATTTATGTACTTTGGATTTGATTGCCAAGTTGTTTATGGCTAGGCCAGTGACTGTACTTAAAAACAGCCAACTGCCGTCCCCCGGCAACACACTCGGAGAAAGATCTGACAAATAATGTTTATTCAGGGAAATGCTTGCTTTCAGGGGTTTCCAATTGTAAGGGCTATCAGCAGGGGTTTGACTTTTTCAAGGGCAGACCTACCTGCCAGACGAACCTGCAAAGATCGGATCAGATTACGAAACTCTAGGAGGGATCTGTAATCGCTTCTAATCAGTGCATAGGCTCTAAGTGTCAGGGGATTAAAATGAATAATGATTAGATTGATAACAAAATTCATAGAATTTTTTATAATCTTGACAGGTTGCTTAGAGATCAGTAGACGTTAGAGAGATCTTAGACCTTAGATCTTGACCTTCCATTTAAGAATTCAATTACTAAATTGCTCCATTTTCTATCCCAACAGATCAGTCTAAACAAACAACGAAATTTGGAGACGAGCCGGACCTCCTGTTCAAGCGAGCGCAGGGCCGGATTAGTCTGATCAGTGCTGGAGTGGGAGCCACCGCTGCCCAAGCGCAAGCACCTTTGAACTCAAACGCCAACGCAACGCGCCAAGTCGCCAACATTCAACTAGAAGCCACCCTCAATGACTGCGAAAGTGGCTATGTGCCCACCGTGGGCCGCTGGGGCGCCGAATGGCCGAGTTGACTCGCCGCTGCCGCCAGTCTACAGGATGGAGGAGCTGCTCCGCAAGGAGAGCTCCCGGAGGAGGCCGCCGCTGCTGGCGGGACCGCTGTCGCTGGAGCGGCACAGGAGCGGGACCAGCAGCTGGCGGATGCTGTGCGCGGAATGGGATTGACTACGCGATCCGCCGCCGCACCTGAACGAGCTGGAACTGCATCCGGAACGGGCGCCATCCGGCGAACACCCTCCACCTCCTCCAGCGAGGATGACTACGAGGATGAGGAGCTGGTGCAGCCGCAACCAACCGACCTGACATCGGTGGATGCTCCGGAGCGATACTCCGACGTCCGGCAGCTGCTGGCCCGTCAGCCAGTTCAGCCGCTGGAGGGGATCACTGGATCCGGCTGGGTCGTTGGCGATGGCTACGACCTAGAGGCCTTCAACCAGGGCAACGGAGTCTGGCCCTTGGGCCATCCGCTGCCGCTGCCCGACTGGTCCAGTGGCGGGAAGAGCACTCTGGTCTTTGACAACGTCTGGCAGTATGAGGAGCTCAACGGAATCGTGGAGACGACGCTCCAAAGGATGTTGGAGGAGACCCACTACAACACGGTCAACCTCTTTGTGGACTTTTACCGCAGCTTCAAGCGCACCCGTCGCTCCGACCTGCGCAGCTTCTTCCAGTTCTACGACGTGCCCATCAACCGACGCCACCACATGTGCGTCTCCCTGGCCTTTGAGATCATGGCCCGGATGGTGCAACTCTTTCCGGTTCTGGCCAACTACCTGTACGTGGTGTCCTGCGAGGAGCAGGTGATGGACTGCCACGACTACGTCCAGTTGGACGAGGAGTGTGGCCTGAATTCGGTGGATGCTGGTGTGGAGAAGGAGCACGTGATGGTGGCCATGCGCATTGCCATCGGGGAGCGAAGGGGTGTGATGATATTGGATCCGGGCTACCACGTCAGCCGAGCGGTGACCGTCATGCAGGATCAGAGCTATCCACACACGGGTAAGTCTACATTTCCCTCCTCCGAGAGTCACGTCTTGATATTCTGTGATCCTTTTAGGCTGGTTCACCCAATCCAAGGAGCCCCACTTGCAGCGGGACTACTGCTATGCCTATAGTCAGCAAAACAACAAGTTCGTGGAGTGGAAGGAGCGTGAGATCCGCGGCGAGGACACCAGTTTCAAAACCTCGCTCGTCTACGTGGCCCAGGAGTACATCACGGCCATTGATGTGACTGTGCGCCGTAATCTGGTGTACAACTTCCGATCCTTGCTCTCCCGAGACGCCAAGGGCCAGGTCTACGCCGGTATCTACTTCCCACTGGTGGCCAATGTCCAGGAATCCTATCTGACCCTCTTCTACGATGGACCCAATGAGCAGAGGGTGCGGACAAAGCTCTTGTTTAGCGCCTTCAAAGTGGGCAAAGGAAAGGTGGGTAGTCGCTATAGTCTCTATTCCTCTTAAAATAAAACTAATCTAGTCTAATCTCCTGCAGCTGCCGGACTACATTGGACAACACTTGACCCGCTTGGCCCCTCAGCTGAAGATGCCCTTGCAGGAGCTGACGGACCTGTGCAAGTCCCTGGCCGAGGTGGTCACCGACCAGAACTTTATTGGTCAAGTGCTGGCCATCAACAGCGACATCGGCAACATGTCCGTGGAGAATTGACAGTCAAAGGAGCCTAAGGATGTCGCTGCAACGTCCGGAGGGACGATCGAGGACGAGACGATCACAAAGCGGGAGTTAAAAGACACTGACAATGCAGCTGCAACTTAGAGTTCCGAATTTTTCTCAATATACTTTGTCCTTTCCACACTAATATTCTTTTAATAGCACTTAGGCACCTACTACACACGGATCAAATTATTTCAATTTAGTAATATATACGTATATATATTATACCACTTCTCTACACACACACACACCAAACACACACTATATTGTAATCCCAATTCAATGATTTAACCGAAACTGAAACTTTAATCAAGAAAACCAAAAACGGCGCCAAGTATAGACTTCGATTATCGCTTAGATTCAGCTTCTGTTTATTTCCACTAAGTATAAACTTATCAATATATGCGCAAAACTATATAATGGCAAAAATTAGTTAATAACTGGTGTCAAGGCAAAAACATAAATTGTAATTGTTGTATGAACAGACTTTTGTTGTAACACTTACTTGCACTGTACGATTTCGGTTCAATAAATAAATCAGCTAGCAAAGAAAGCCTTGTTTTTATTTCAAATTTAAAATTAAATATTAAATAGGAGTACCTTATCCCCTAGAAGGATTTACAATTTTCCTTGAAACGGGGTTCTCCCTATATGGCCCACACTGATGGCTATATCTTCACCAATTCTCATCCGATTCTCAAGCGGAGTACCTTAAACGATTTCTGGATCGATTCGTCACAATTCTGCATCAAAATCCTGAGACAAAATATTTTTTCAATTTTTTGTCCATTTTTCTGATGGGATCCCTTGAAAATGCGGTTTTCCCCTATGGGGTCCACAGTGATGCCTATATCTTCCCCAATTCTCATCCGATTCTCAAGCGGAGTATCTTAAACGATTTCTAGATCGATTCTGCACCATTCTGCATTAAAATCCTGAGACAAAATATTTTTCCCATTTTTTGTCCATTTTTCTGATGGGATCCCTTGAAAATGCGGTTTTCCCCTATAGGGTCCACAGTGATGGCTATATCTTCCCCAATTCTCATCCGATTCTCAAGCGGAGTACCTTAAACGACTTCTAGATCTGGACAAAATATTTTTAAGATTTGTTTCCCCTTTTAAATTAGCTGTGATTTTGGACTCGTATTTTTGGGTCACTATTCAAATTTGCCCGCTCAACCTACAGCTTCTGTTAATTTTTAACATTACAAATAAAGCAACTATTTCCATAGTTGCTTCTTTGGCCAGCAGGTGGCGCTATAACTTTTTAATCGATTTCATACCACCTCTAGTTGCTGGTCTGTAATTTCATTAAATTAGTTGTTTTCGTTAAATTGGTTGTTTTCGGTGACTTAACAACAAGGTAAGAGAATAACGGTCTTAATCCTAGCTTTCAATACTAGCTAAATACCCAATATTTTTTTTTGTGTTTACAATTTGAAGCCGATCAGCTGTTTTTTGCGAGAAAACTAAGACCTCCACTGCTGATCTGCCAAAAATGATAGGATAACAAGAAAGAGTTTCCAATGTGATACTCTCTCCACTTTCCTTGTTATCCTTCCAAACATAACTCTCCATTTTCGATAATGGATAACGCGCGAGTTTTGAAATTTTGAAAGCGAATAAGACACCGCAACAGGTGAAATACAACAACAACAGCAACACCCAGTCGAGTTCTTGGCGAAAAGGCGCGCAATTAAAACCTAACGTTTACTTCGCTTTTGAATTTCACGCGGAGCGGTTGTGGCACCAAGGGCCGCTTCAAAAACCGGTTTCAATTCGACTATTTTTTCGAAAAAAAAATAAAATAAAACAAACGCGATAGAAACCGCTTAGGAGGCAGCCTTTAATTGAAAAAAAGGGTGTCACTATTAACATAAGACGATCTCACTGGCAAGTGCATTCTGCCTTTGCGGGCCAAACCAAACCAAACATCAAATTGAAGGTAAAAACTTGAAAAAAAAACAAAAACAAAAAGCTGAAACCGTTTGCAAGGGCACCGCCACCAACAACAATAGAAAAAGAAAGTTAACCATATGCAGCCAAATTAAAAACGACAACAACAACAAAAAGACTGCTAAGCTTTTGCGTTTTGTTGACGGAAGTCGAAACTCTTGGCCTCACCTTTGTGTGGAGTACATATGTACACCGGGAGAAATGGTTATTAAGTGAAAAGAATAACCAGAAGGATAAATCCTTAAGAGGGTTCTAAAAACCTATCCCCAAAGTTACCATTTCCACTTACTTTTCTTGAAGAATAATGATCATTTTTTGATTATTGAAACCATTAACAATCCATGACACTTGACACTTTTCTCGCTGTGTAGATTTGGTCGCCAGACCCCTCGCCCTAACATAAAACAAGAAGAAACCGACCCTCGTCGTTTTCGGATTTGGCCCCAAATTCACTCTTCTGGCCCCGATCATTGGACCTGGCTCTATCTTCGGTTCTTCAACTTTCATTCCAACACTGTTTAGCTTTTTAATTTGCATTTTACGAGCACACCTTGCCCCGTTTCTTCTCTCTATTTCTTCATATCTCTCTCACTCCAGGTCCCCCATCTAGGCGGTATTTTAATAAGTGTGACAAAAACCTACTAGTCTTCAGTATAATTATTAAAATACATTAGCTACCCGGCCAAACAATTAAGGTTCGAGAGCCAGACTTAGTGCAGGTTGCAGTGTAAATTTGCATAAATCTAAAGTCACAATAAACACAATTGTTTTAGCTTGATAAGCCCGGCTAACGAAGCTACGAAAATTGCTGGGCAAACACAAAAAGTCCCAGGTGAAGAGGCACAAAAAAATTAGGTTGTAGCTCAAGTTAAGGCGACTAAAAGCTACTCTATCCGGTAGTTTTTGTTGTACAAATATTCTAAAGTATAGACGAGTCCCCAGCACATCCAAATTCAGTTCAATCCCAAAAAAAAAACTTCAAAGAGTCATCTCCAAACTTATTCCCTCAAGAGGTATACCCGCTGGCCTGGGAATTCTCGAAATCTTGCTGACTCAGTTGGAGAGTGTGTCGCAAAGTGCACTCAGGTGGATTGACTCGCTAATATTGATAATTGCCCCGCCAGATGACTGCCGCCCGTGACGACCCAGAAATCGGTTTCTTATCAGCCCCCCCTGACCTTTGGATCCAGACGTAGTCTTCATCGATTTCTTATCTTCCGAAATTGTTAACATTTCAGGAAACTAGTGGTAACCATGCTGGGAACACTGCTATGGATTTTCTTCGTGGGACTGTTGCTGTGCGCGTTCCTCTTCTCGAAGACCACCAAGGAGTTCCCCAAGTCCTGGTTCGAGTGGAAGACGGAGTTCCGGTACCAGTACCTCGGCATAGTGGGTCTCATCCATGACGCTCAGTATGCGGCGCGGGATCGCGTGGGTAAGTGTCTAAGTGTCTTCTAGATTCTTATCCCATAAATGCTAATTGAAAACATCCATTTAAAGCACTCTACAAACAACCGGATCGCATCGCGGTCATTACGGGCGGAAATCGAGGCATTGGACTCCGTATCGTCGAGAAGCTGCTGGCTTGCGAGATGACAGTGGTTATGGGTGAGTGTAAGCCAATCCGTACTTTGAATCCCACGGCTACGGTAGACGTTTGCTTAGACCTGGACATAAAAAGGGTGATTCGATTATAAATTCAACACAACCATTTGACCCGTACACTCTGTGCACTGCACTTTACGTGCCGGGAATGTCTGAATCCGAAATCAGAATTTAAAATGAATTCCCGATCAGATCATCGGAATGCAGGTACATATGCGTCCGTCTGTCCGTTCTGGAAAACGTGCTTCCATACATTTGGAAATCGTGTCTTGGTTCTCATTTCAATCCCTTTTTTTGGGGGGGATTAGTATCGATAAGAGTTTGTTGAACTTATGTTAGATATATCTTATACTTTGATATGATCATGCTAAGAAATTATATTTTTCTCGTATATTTTAAAGCATTATTTATAAATTTTTAACCTTTTTATTTTATATTTGTTGGCTAAATTAGTATTATTTTAAATTTAAACTTCCTACCTCTTGAATTATATTAGTTAACAGTGGTCTGTTAATTTCTACATTGATCTTCTGTAACATATGTAAGATACTGTAGAATACATGTAGACTACTAGATGGCGCTTGTGTATGAATATATGTTCGAATTTTGAGACTTTGAAGATAATAAGAAAAGTTTAAATTAAGGATAAACCTTATCAAAAATTAAACATTAAAAATATATTTATTTCTATCCTTAGGCGTTCGCGATCCCCGCAGTGCTGAGGCCGCCGTGGCCTCCGTGGTGGACCTGAAAGCCTCCAAGGGCAAGCTCGTCTGCGAGCAACTCGATGTTGGGGATCTAAAATCCGTCAAGGCTTTCGCCCAGTTGATCAAAGAGCGCTATTCCAAGATCGATCTGCTGCTGAACAACGCCGGCATTATGTTTGCTCCTTTCAAACTCACCGCTGATGGTTATGAGTCGCACTTTGCCACCAATTATCTGGGACACTTTCTGCTCACCCACTTGCTGCTGCCCAAGCTGAAGGCCGCCGGCAAGGAGGGAAAGAACTCCAGGATCGTTAATGTCAGCTCCTGTGTGAATCTCATTGGACGTATTAACTATAAGGATATTAATGGAGAGTAAGTGCTCTACAAATCATTATTAAAACATATTTTAATTAAATTGTATTCTTCTAGGAAACACTATTATCCAGGAACTGCCTACAGCCAGTCAAAGCTTGCCCAGATTCTGTTTACCCGACATCTCCAGACTGTGCTGGATGCGGAGAAGGCCCATGTTCAGGTCAATGTGGTCCATCCGGGCATTGTGGACACTGATCTGTTTGAGCACTCGGCCACCACATCCGTGCCATTTTTCAAAAAGCTCTTCTTCAAGACGCCGGAGCGGGGATCCCGCACTGTGGTCTTTGCCGCCATTGATCCCTCCATCGAGGGCCAGGGTGGCACGTACCTGAGCAACGGCGGCAAGGGCCCCTTCCATCCGGACGCCAAGAAGCCGGCCAAGTGCGAACAGCTCTTCCAGTTCTCCTGCGACTTGCTGAAGATCAAGCAATACGGCAACGGGGAGCTCTGAAGAATACCATTAATTTAAATCCAAAACATTCCTCACTCAACTGGTGCAACGTACTTTTCTAGATTCAGTCAGTTTTTTTGTAAATCGATTTCTTGTATGGCTTGTATAAAACATATTTTTATATAGAACTACACCTGGCGTGTGTTTTGGGGCTCTAGGAACTGATGTTAATCGGCCTGTGCTAGGTTTTAATTAACTTGTCTTCGGGTGATTGCCATCAGCGGGCAGGGAATGCAATTAAAAATGCTGCACTGAACACAAAGTCAAACATACATCTTCAAAATGCACTCAGCTGTTGGTGGCGGCAGCTTGAAAGGCCAGCATGTATCTGTTATATGTCAAATTTTCGAAAAAGCAAACAATTTAATTTGTGCGCCTCCTCAAACAATGAGCGATTAACATTCAACTTTTCGGAGGAATTTTAATCGACTTCAGTTACGGGCGGGATATGGGGGAT